CCATTCTGGGGATAGACTTGCATTCCAGAAGCATTCCGCCTCCGCTGTGCCCACCCACCCAGCATGTGTCAGAAAGGCGCAGGCCGGAAGTTGTAAGTGGCATAACGGACCAGAAGCCTTTGGGTAACGGACGAGAAACAGGCTCCCCGTGTACAGAGCCAGCATCTCTCCGGACAATTCTTCCAATCACTGGCTGGGTAATATTTGTAAGCACACAGGTTCATTTTTTAACATTTTTTTGAGAACCTTTTGAGTGTGGCTTCTGCCACGCAGCACCACGTGGCTGAGACTCGCCCATGCTGCTGCCTGGGTCCACAGTCTGCTCCTTTGTGCTGCTGCCTAGTACTCCGGGGTCTGAATGGACCACCTTTGTTCATTCACTCAGCTGAGGAGGGACATTTGGGTTGTTAGCAGATGCAGCTGCCATGCACATGGGCATGGAGGGCTTTGCGTATCTCCCTGGAGTGGGATTGCTGAATGACAGGGGAAGTGTCCATGTAACTGCATTAGATATTGCCCTATTGTTTTCCGAAGGAGCTGAACCGTTTTGTTTTCCACCGGCAATTAGGGGAGTTCCCGTGGCCCCGCATCCTCGTCAGCACGGGCGTTGTCAGGCGGCCCTTTTCCGGTCCTTCCATGCGCTCCCCTTCTCCTCTGGTAGCCAGGCTGCCATTGCTGCAGCGGAGAGCTAAGTTCCAGCCGCTGCAGGGGCGGCTCTCTGCGATCCCCAGTGCCGGAGCTTCTGCAGCATCCCCACCCACCCTGTGCCCATCCCCACCCGCTTCCTGGCCAGCCTGAGTGCCTGTGATCTGTCAGTGCCATCTCTGTGATCGGAGCTTCCTGCTCCTCCCTGCAGAAGTGACTTCTAATGGAATTGGTATGGGATCCCCAAGGAATTGGTCTCTGCACCTCCCCCAGGCAGAGGGATTTTTTCCCTCCTACCTAAATGAAGCCACAATGAGCCTTTAGCTAGCCCTGGCAGTGACAGGGTTTGCTGGCCCTCTCCTAGTGGCTCAAGGCTTCTGCTCCTTGTGGACAGGGATCTGGAGAGGAGGGCAGGGTCTGGCACTGTTTCCACAGCTGCAGCGGCTGACCCATTCCTTCTTGCCCCTACTGGGCTGAGGGCGTCTCACTCCCACTTCTCACCCTTCCCTCTCTCCCCAGCACCCGGCAGAGGCCCATAAATAAAAGCTATAAGTGTGTGCACACTCTCCCAGCTGCTCCATGCAGGCAGCACACACCTGCTCCCAAGGATTTGCTAACTTGTAGCTGACTCCTTACCCGCTCCTCAGGAGGCCGCGGGTCCCCCTCTCCCTCCCCGAGCGCTGGCACAGGTGAGCCAGTCTGCCTCCTCTCTCTCCTGAAGGGGCCGCCTCCCTCCCAATTCAGGCTACCTGGTTGCCAAGTGACCTCCGTGCCTTGGCAAGCTGGAGAAAAGCGATGACTCTGTAGCATAGGCAGGCTTTTCTCCTTGTTGGTGAGGGAGCGACACTCCGCGGCTTTCTGCCTCCTGCAATCCTCTCCCTGGTTTTAGCATTGCCTCCTGCCTCATATCCCCTGCCAGCCCCAGCGGACACTGCGTTTTAGGTTGCTCTTAACACGCCACTCCCGGGTGCTGATTTTTGTTCAGGAATCTATGCCCTGTCATCTGTGCTGCATAACAAAGCGGTGGTGTTGATAAAAATGAACTGCCGTTTCTCATAGTTCCACGCGTGCCAGTCTCTGCTGGGCAGTGTGGTCTGGGCAGCCCCCGGCCCTCCCCAGGCAGACGCTTAGCGGAAGCCGTGAGTTGGCGTCCAGTTTTACTGGAGCCAAACACTGTGTCCTAACAGGGCCTTTCACACCGGGCCCTAAATTTATCTAACTACAAGGTTAGAAGAAAGGGGTGAGAGAGGCCTTATCAAATAAGTCTTTAAAAGCACTAAGCTATAGAGGGAAAAGGAGAAATCTTATTACACCAAAATATAAGATTTCTGCCCACAGGGACCTGAATAGAAGAAATTAGTATGTGGATGGCTGAATGGAAGGAGATAGTTGCAATATCTAAAACTGACAGGCAGTTAAAGTCTAGCTATAAACTCCTACAAATCAACTAAAAAAGGAGCACTATAAATTCTACAACGTTTGCAAAGGATATTAAAAAGCAATTTATAAACGTTAAGTCCCAAATGTTAAGAAGCAATCTGAAGAGGTGCTCGGAATCGTTAGTAATCAGAAAAATGCGAAGCAAAACAGCAAGCTATCATTTTATACTTACGAACTTGGCGAAGATTAAAAAGCTAGTTAGTGCCAAGCTGAGTATGTGTGTGTGAGGAACGCAGGGGAAAGGAACCCTCACACAGTCAGAGGGCTGAGGACTGGCGCAGCCACTGGATGGCACCTGGAACTACCTATGGGCACCTGCCCCTGGCGGGGCGTGAATTACTGGGTTTATAGGCTATGCATGTACAGACTTTGTCTAAGAAGTTCCCCACAGGCCTGAGAGCTGTTGAGTCCAGAGAAATGTTTCCTGCAGGATCCCTTTGTTGTTTGGCTGTGTGTGTGTGTGTGTGTGTGTGTGTGTGTGTGTGTGAGTGTGTGTGCGTGCGTGTGCGTGTGTGTGTGTATGTACACACATACTTGGGGTGGTGCTGGCATAGTGGCAGGGAGCTGGAAGCACTCTGATGGCCCATCACTGGTAGAATGACAAATCATGGTGGATTCTCACCACAGAATCCTAAGTAGCAGTTAGAAACTACAGATTAACTATACATATAGCAACAGAGTTGAATATTAATTGTTCATTAACTATTCAGCTTTGAATTATTCACTATTCTATTCTGTCCACTGACCTATTCTAGAATAAGACATGACATAAAATAAAAATTAAAGAAAATATATAGAGAGGTGAAACAACAACATGCCTATTTTGGGGAAGAACATGTACAAACAAAGATATGTATTACCACATTCGAAAGGTCACTATTGTGGGGATATAGGTAAAAGTGGAGTATGGGGATAAAGGTTAATTTAAAAAATGTTTTTCCTATTAAAGGACGTGTATTACCTGGTTTCCAGCTTTACAACGCTACAGTCAGCAAAACAGTGCGGGATTAGCATCAAGATGGATATATAGATCAATGGGACAGAATAGAAACTCCCCAAGTAAACTCACACATACACAGCCCATTGATTTTTTAAAAACAAGTGTACAAAGGCAATTCAGTGGAGAAGGGAACAATTGAATATCCATATGCATAAAGTTAACTTGGATCCATAACTCAAAGCATATGAAAAATTAACTAAAAATGGATCACAGGCCTAAATGTAAAACAACAACAACAAAAAAGAAGAAACAACTATAAAATATAAGAGAAAACATAGAAAGAAAATTTAAAAGAAAATCTTTTGTGACCTAGGGTCAGGTAAAGATTTCTTAGTTACAACACCAAAATATCAGTGTATAAAAGAAACATTTGATATATTGAATTTGATCAAAATGAAAGAACATTTGCTCTTTGAAAGATACTGTGAGAATGCAGAGAACACATTTGCAAATCATGTATCTGATAAAGTGCTTGTATCCAAAATAAAGAACTCTCAAAACCCAGTAAGAAAACAAACAGTAAATTTTTTAAATGGTCAGAACATTTGAATAGGCAAATAAGCACAAGACGTTGAGTATTATCAGTCATTAAGGAAACTGCAATGAGCTACCACTACCCCAGTGAGAACGGCTACAATTAAAACGACTGACCACGCACTGGTGCATCCTAGCGGCCAGGGATGGGGAGCTCTTACCCACCCCTGGTGGGGGGTGTGCGATGGGGCCACCACTTTGGCAGTGTCCTGAGAAGTTACAAACACACATCTACCATGGGACCTAGCCATCACTTCTAGGCATGACCCAAGAAAAATGAAAGCACCTGTCTGTGCGAAGACTTGGAATCTGAAGTTCACAGCAGCTCAAAAACTGGAAACAACCCAAATGCCCACCAACGATTGAATGGATAACCAAATGGTCACATTTCCAAGACGCTGTAATACAATACCATAAACTTTGCTTAGCCATCGGTGAAAGGAACTATTGACGCCATCGCATGGGTGAACCTCAAACAGTCATTGTACTGAGTAAAAGAAACCAAACACAAAAGGAGTAATGCTATATGATTTCTACGGACACAGAATCCTAGAAAATGGAGTATAATCCACATGGAGGGGAGGCAGATCAATGGCTGTCTGAAGGAGGAAGAGGAAGGACACTTTCAGGGGTGATGGATATGCTCATGATCTTGATCGTGATGATGGTTGCATGGAAGCGTACATATGTCAAAACGCATCAAATTTTACACTGTAGCCGAAACTGGTTTGGCTCAGTGGATAGAGCATCAGCCTGCGGACTGAAAGGTCCCTGGTTCGATTCCAGTCAAGGGCATGTACCTTGGTTGCAGGCACATCCCCAGTAGGGGGTGTGCAAGAGGCAGCTGGTCAATGATTCTCTCTCATTGATACTTCTAACTATCTATTCCTCTCTCTTCCTCTCTGTAAAAAAAAATCAATTATATACATATATATATATATATATATATATATATATATATATATATATATATATATATATAATTACACTTTAAATATGTGCACTTTATTGTAGATCAAAACCTAAATAAGCAGTATTTTTTTAAAAGGGAACCCGCCCGCCCAGGGTAAGTGGCGCAGCTGGTTAAGTGGCAGAGCGGGATTCGAACGCGTGAGGCTGCCCTTGGGGGCCCTTGCGTAACCCCTGAGCTCCAGGTCCCAAGAGCACCCCGGAAAGTGCTGGAAGGGAGCAGAGGCCGCCCGGGCCAGCTGCGGCCGGACGGGGTTAATGATTACGGCGGCGGCCCCGCCCCGTCCGCTCTCCCCGCCCCGGGGCGGCCCCAGCCCGGCCCCGCCCGCCCGAGGCCGCCGTGCGCCCCGCGCCGCGCTCCTCGCCGCCGCCACCTGCTGCTGCCCGCCCGCCCGCCCGCACTGCGCCCGACATGGTGAGGGGGAGCCGCGCGCCGCTGTGATTGTGGCGGCCTGGTTAGGAACGGGCGTGCGTTAGGGTCCGAAAGAGGAAGGGGGCCTTAGGGTCCACCCCCCACACACCCCCGCCCTAGCCGCCTGCGCTGGCGCGGCGGGAGAGGGTGGGTTGGGAAAGTGGGGGAGGGTTCAGGTTAGCGCGCCTGGTTCGGACAATGGGGGGAGGGAAGTGGTGTTTCTTTCGCGTTCCCACCCCTGGAGGTGCCCCTGGGGAAGCTGAGGCCATGACTGGACGGTGGTAGGTCCAGGTAACAGGCAGGCTGGCCTCGGGGCTCCCGGGCCTGTGCCCCCTCCGCACCGCAATACTTAGGGTGACCTCCCTGGGTAAAGGTGGGGCGTGGGACTAGGGCCTGGGTGGGGAGGGACAGCACCTGGAGCGGGCCGTTAAGGTTCCCGTGGGTGGTGTTGGAGGTGGGGATGGGGATGTGTCTGTATGTGAGTGTGGAGAGGGAGATTGGATTCCTGGGTTCCTCTGCCCCCCCTGTTTACCGCCCTTCTGCCTTGCACTTCTGGGCACGGGGGCTGGCGAAGCCCGCTGGGTGTCCTATGCTGGCCCTGGCCTCGGAGTCAGCCCCGGGCGCCTAGTTTGAGGCCTGCCCAGCAGGGGAAACACATGGCTCAGGACCATCTGTCCTCCAGGCTGAGCTGGCCCCCAGGAGGGTCTCCGGGGTGCTTCCCCGCCTCCCCCACTCCCACCTCAGCTGGAGAGGTGAAGGGAGTCCCGGGGCAGCCGGGAGAGGGGCCTCTAGACCCAGGGAAGCTTTATAAACAGCCCATTTCTGGCCCAAAAGCCTTAGGAGCAGTCCAGACCCCAGTGACACCTGAGAGGGCACTTTGAAGGCTGTGGCTTGGAGGGAGGGGAGCTGGTGAGCGAGGTTGTGAGACACACTGGGGCCCACAGAGCAGGGCATGGGTAATGAGTAACCCCTGGGCACACTCCCCCAGAGGCCTGGCCAGGCCTGATTGGGATTTACCAAGTAAATACGGCCCCTTCCCCCTCTGATCCCAGATTGGAGGGGCTTATCAGGTCAGCCTGGGCTGTGAGTCCTGGGGGTTCCAGAATTACTCTAAAGAGACAGGGGGCCCTTGGGGGATTCGCTGGTACCCACCACTCCTTTCAGAGCCAAAGAACTCAGCAGTGCGCTCTGATGCCCCGGGTGACATCTGGTCATCTGGTTGCCTGGAAACGTGGAACAGGCTTAGCAGCTGTGGAGAAAGGCCAGCTCCGGAACAGAGATCTGAGATGCGGATCTCTCCGGCCCAGAGGGGAGACAGACCAGGTCAGAACAGCCAGAGAGAGCACGTGATTTCAGGAGGGAGAAAAGATTTTGTCAGAGCGCTTTTTCGATTCTACCCAAACCCAAGGCCCATCATAAGCCTGCATTTCCCAGGAAGTTTCCTTTAAAAAAGGCAGATGGCATTCCTCCAATAACAGTGGTGTTTACTGGTGTCCCATTGACTCTGGCTGATTCGAAGTGGACGAGCTTGTCCCCTTTACCTGGGAAGCCCAGGGAGATGTGCGCCACGGGCCGCCTGGCCGGAGAAAGGAACTGGGGCTGGAACCAGCCCCGCACACTCCACCCATGGCCGGCCCAGGTCTGCGGGGCCGCCTAACGCTGCTTTACCCTCCCTCCATGACCTTCCAGACCTTGATGCATTTTTAACTTAGCGCTGCATGGTTTCTTAGAGCTGTCCTTGGGGACTCTACTTCAGGGGCCTAATTCTGGGGCCCCCTAAGCTCCTAGACCTGGATCCTCCCACAGGACAGAACTGACTTGCTTCCTTCAGAACCTTTCTCAGAAGGTTCCGCTCACGGTCTGAATTGTGCCAGTCTGGGCTGCCCAGAGGGCACTTTGCACAATATGCAGATGGGGCACTAGGTTTGCCAATTGGCTTTGGCCAAGTTACTTCAACTTTTTAAAAAAATATATTTTTTATTGATTTTTTTTACAGAGAGGAAGAGAGAGGGACAGAGAGTTAGAAACATCAATGAGAGAGAATCATCGACCAGCTGCCTCTTGCACACCCCCCCACTGGGGATGTGCCTGCAACCAAGGTACATGCCCTTGACCAGAATCAAACCCAGGACCTTTCAGTCTGCAGGCTGATGCTCTATCCACTGAACCAAACCGGTTTTGGCAGTTCCTTCGACTTTTAACCAAGCTCTGTGGCTCAGGCTCCCCAGCCTGACAGGAAAGAAGGTCGGGGAAGTTTGAGAACCCGCAGCCTGGCGGCTGGGAACCAGAGGCGGCCTGGGAGCACCATGGAGGACGCACTGGGCGGCCGTGCCAATGCTTGTCTACTGCGTTGTGGCTCAGAGCCGCCTGGAACGTCTTCAGGGCTGGGCCCTTCGCCGGCCCCAGGGACAGAGGCACAGACCCCACTTTGAGAACCATGGCCACGCTCTCACCGACTGGCCTCATCTCCTCTGTAGTGCGCCTGACAGTGGTACCCGCAGGGGCAGGGGGGCAGGTCCGTGATTGGAAAAGGAAGGTTGGATAGCTGGGTATCATTGTCTGTAAGGTTATGTTGTAATGCACACACGTCTGGGCTAGGTTTTGCTTTTCCTCCCTCATTACTGTAAGAGATGTACTGTTTTGGGGGATGGGGAGCATTTCTTAGTTCAGTGTGATTGACAACATATTTTGTTTTCTGTCTTTATTTTTTTTGGTAATCCCCATTTGAGGATATTATTCCATTGATTTTTAGAGAGAGTGGAAGGGGGCGGAGAAAGAGAGAAACATTGATGTGAGAGAGACATTGACTGATTGCCTGCACTCACCTCAACCAGGACCTGGGATCAAACCTGTAACCCAGGATGTGCCCTTGACCGGGAATTAAACCCACAACACTTTGGCCAGGGCAGGGTTTTCTGTCCCTTTGAATGGAATGTAAAATCTAAGGACCTATCAGTGCAGGCACTAGGGCCCCACCTCCAGGGCAGGGGGCCACCCTCCCCGCTCCGTGTCTACTGCTTTAGACCAGCTGCCCTTTGACTTGTCACCTGGGTCCAGAGCTGCCGGCGGAAGCTGGCTCAGTTCCCCCAAAGGTCTGGGCCTCTCCTTTGCCCTCGACAAAGACATGCCCTTGGGCCTCTGGTTTTTTCCCTCTCCTAGGCTGGCAAAGCGCACAGGCTCAGTGCTGAGGAGAGGGACCAGCTGCTGCCAAACCTGAGGGCCGTGGGGTGGAACGAGCTGGAAGGTCGAGATGCCATCTTCAAGCAGTTCCATTTCAAAGACTTCAACCGGGTATGGCACAGTGGGGGCCAGAGCTTCCCTGGGGCTGATGGGGTCACACTTGTTCTCTTCCTTAAAGCCCTAGACTCTCAGACACTACACTAATGCATCACCCCCTGGGGGGGAGAGGGCAGACCTGGCTTTTGGACTCTCCATGCCTTGAACTGACATATGAAGGTATTCTACACAAAAGATTGGCCGAGACTCACCGCCTCTCTGGTGTTTCCACCTTGTTGGTGGCCTTTCTTCCTACCGCAGAGAGACCCCCCTCGAGCTCCAGCCTCAGAACCAGTGGCAAGATGCTGGGGAATGATGAAAACTCGAGGGGATCTCCTCCTAGGAAGCCTGTCAGCCCCCCTGCATCGAGGCCTTACGCTGCACGGAAGGGTGCCCAGCAGCCTCTCTCACAAAACACTAACCCCGGGTCTCTCCGCTAACAGGCTTTTGGCTTCATGACCAGGGTGGCCCTGCAGGCTGAGAAGCTGGACCACCATCCTGAATGGTTCAACGTGTACAACAAGGTGAGTGATGTGTGCCTGTTGTGCTTGGCGAGGTCACGTTCTGAGAATTTCACCTCCCATGGACTTCCCTCCTGGCCCTCCTCGCCCAGACTGTCCACTGCTCCTGCTCCATCCATCTCCTTCCCAGACTCGACATCAACACCCCTGGAAAATATCCTCACTACACATTTTAAAGATGCATGTTAAAACACTGTGAGATAACTTGTGGTTCAAGTAGACATCAAAGAAGATAAAACCCAAGGAAGGAAAGGCTGTGTGAGCCAGACATATCCACTGTTAGTAGCTCTGCATGGCCTAATCTTTCTGGAGGAATGGAAGAACGAAGTAATAAAACTGAACTAAGAATAGCCATGCACAGCAAGCAGATCAGATATTCCACGGAATGAATTGAAACAGTCATTAAATGCCTGCCATGTGCCAAGAGCTATGCTGGGTTCTGAAAACATAAAGGCTCAAAGACATGGAGAGCGTTTACTAGGAATTGGAGTCCTTCTGTTATTTTTGTTTTGTTTTGTTTTGTCTTTAATCCTCACCTGAGGACGTGATTATTGATTTTAGAGAAAGGGATGGGAGAGAGGGAGAAACATCTATGTGGGAATAAACATAGATCATGCCTTCCTGTATACACTCAACAGGGGATGGAACCCGAACGAGGTATGTGCCCTGACCAGGAATCAAACCCATAACTTTTTGGGCATGGGATGCTGCTCCAACCAATTGAGCCACACTGGGCAGGGCTCCTCTTTTGTTTTTAGGGAGCTCTCAATGCTTGGAGGTTTCATTTTATTTTATTTTATTTTAAATATATTTTATTGATTTTTTATAGAGAGGAAGGGAGAGAGAGAGAGAGCTAGAAACATCGATGAGAGAGAAACATCGACCAGCTGCCTCTTGCACACCCCCTACTGGGGTCTTCCTCGCAGCCAACGTACATGCCTCTGACCGGAATCAAACCCGGGACCTTTCAGTCCGCAGACCGACGCTCTACTACCACTGAGCCAAACCAGCTTCGGCTCATTTTAATCTATAGCTGGAGTTGCCATTTTTTTTTTTTTTTTTTTTGGAGATGTATTAGAAGATAGTCTTGCACTGTTGTTACAGAAACCAGTCCTGCCCGGACAGCAGCCCCCAGGGGAATAGGCAGATCTCAGAGATGTTGCGGGTTCCGGTCCGGACCACCACCACAAAGCGAGTCTCACAGATTTGTTTCAGTGCATACAAGAGTTGTGTTTACGCTCTATTGTCCTCTATTAAGTGTGCAATGGCAGTATGTCTAAAGCCAATGTTCATACCTTAATTTAAAATACTTCATGGCTATGAGTGCTATCACCTGAGCCTTTAGCGAGTCGTGGCCTCTTTGATGGAGGGATCTGGGTGACTGGGTAAGAAACGCAGCAGCAGGGAAGCCAGTGAAATGGTGTGCCTGTGTCCGGAGCTCAGGGTGGCTGAGCCAACAGCGAGGGGCGCTCCTGCTCTTCAGAGACGTGCGTGGAATCAGCTGGTCCCAATGTCTGGCTCTGTTTCAGGTCCACATCACCCTGAGCACCCACGAGTGTGCAGGCCTGTCGGAGCGGGACATAAACCTGGCCAGCTTCATCGAACAAGTAGCGGTGTCCATGACCTAGACCCTGCCTTGCCTCGCTGAATTCTTCAGGGAAAGGGGTGACTGAACTGAAAATTCAGAGAGAGAGAACAGGGGAGCCCTCCCCCCCCCAATGCTGCTATAGTTAAAACTGCTATGTCCACTTTGCTGCCTCCATTGAGGGGTGAGTCCCTACTGTGGGAAGAGATGCCAGCGTCACCGCCAACACCGGGAACTTAGGGACGGTTTCCCCCCACACCGAGCTCTTCATCGTGGGGCCCTATTAAAGGTGCCGGGATCTGAATTAGATCTTCCCATTCCTTACAGCTTCTCAGCAACAGTAATGACTCTTTCAAGGCCGTATCTTGCTCCCTTTCTAATTCATTTTCCTAGAAGCTGTGTTTGCGATATACGGAATCTTAGAAACCAGAACCTTAGTGCCATCCCGCTCCTATGTGATAAAAACACACGCTTTTGTGTCTCAAATAAAACTTGTCTCACTCGGCCGCAGGCTCCAGAATCTTCTCTTTCACAGGTCAATCCAAATCGGAGTCGACAGGCATTTAAAGCACTTCCTGAGCACCACCCTGCCTTCAGGGAGCTCCTTACCCTCCAGGGGAATCAAACAGGAGCACAGGCAACTGCTGCTAAGCAGGATGAATGAAGCCCACGCTGGGTGCAAGGACAGGAATGAGCCAAGAGCGCAGGACGTGATTAACAAGGTGAATCAGAGCTTCATTTGAGTTGTGCCTCGAAGACCTGAATCCGCTTCCTGAGGCAGAGGTGGCATCATGAACGAAGGGGAAGGTGAGCAGGACGCCTGTAACAGGCATGCCGAGACCTACGCCTAAAAAGGCAGCCTGGGCACGTCTTGGCTTACCACCTCAGGGGAGGAGATTTCTAATCCTGAGGGCTTTCACGCTTTCCTAGAAACTCGGCCACAGTCTCAAGGCTTGCCTGCTTCTTACTCTGTAAGGGCGACGACAAAAGCCGCGGCTTAGAACATGACAAGCTATTTGCCACCTGGGAGTTAAGAAGCTGATTCTCGGATTGCTCCTCCAACCCAGTAAGCAGCTCTAGGGCAAAACACTCTCACTGACTGCCCGACAGAAGGGGTTGCTGAGCAGTGTCGTCCACTGGGTGTGCATGCCTCACGGCTGTCATTTCATGTTTGCCATTATGCAAGCGTTCTCACCTATGACACCTGACCTGAGGCTGCCTGGGTACTAAGTTGATTTTCAGATACCAGGGTCACCTGGAGCAGGCACCCAGCAATGTCACAATTCAGTCACCCTGGATGAGTTGGCCCTGCAACACAGCCAGAAGAGGCCGATGATGGTCATCGAGAAAAAAGCATATTGTTGCCTACGTTTGATACTTCTCAGCAAAACCTAGTATCAAAACCAATAATGTACAGACAGTAGTCCTCCATCTGCTCCATTTCTGACATAAATTTTTCTAAGTGCACTTGGACCTGACGACTGAGGGCTAGGGGACAGAAGCCACATCACACTGTGTTATACTATCTTCTTTTTTTTTAATCTTTATTGTTCAGATTATTACAAATGTGATCCTCTTCCCCCCCTCAATTGCTCCCCTTCACCAGGTTCCCACCCCACCTTCTGTCCTTTCCCCATCCCCCATTGTCCTCATCCATAGGTGCAGTTTTTGTTCAGTCTCTTCCCGGACCCCCACTCCCCTTTCCCCCGATAATCGTCAGTCCACTCCCCTTCCATACCTCTGATTCTATTATATTCACCAGTTAATATTGCTCATCAGATTTTTTAATTCCCTTGGTTTTTAGATTCACTTGTTGATAGCTACATAACCATCTTCTTGCTCTGCTTACGGCGTGAGTCAGGGTTGAAAACACCAAACCAGAGGATACTACAGTTGTATGAAGCACTTTTATGTGGGACAAAGACACAAACAACACTTTTTTATAGAAATAAATGTTTATTCTAAAATTATTCAAACAATTTAAATTATAGGGAATGGGGTTAAAGAGAAGTGACAATAAAGAAAAAGCACAAGAAAAACTAAAGCAACTAAAACTCCAAATCAAGAAAAGGCCCTCGAACATCTGACTTTTGATACCCAGGCTATCAAATTAGGTCTCTGCCATTACTTTTGTCACTACTGGGTTGAGCTATAAGTGGCTCATTGCTACCAAGAACCCACACCGAAGGCAGAGAGGCCCACAGCTGTAAGGAGCAGGTGTAGGCACCCCGACACCATTTCTTAGATGGGCCACATCTATCAAAGCACATGCTGGCCCCTCTTTCTCCAGGGTTTACCCCAAAGCAAGCAGGTGCTCAGGAACTGAGTCATCTGGCATAGAACTACAGCAAAGGCCACATTGCTTGACTGGATTCTGGCAAAGTGAATGGACTGAAAGCCAGATGAAAAGCTTGGTTACCTGAAGGAGCATCTTTGGAACCTGAATAATCCTTCAGAAAGACTTCTCGCTTCTTAGTCATAATGGAACAAGACACTCAGCAGTTGCGGGTGCAAAGATAATCTGAGGGGTTCCATCAGTTCCCAAACCAAATGCAAAGCTTGAAGTCGGTGTCCGTTGGTTAGATGGAGCTCACTGCCCAGCTGGCTGGACACTAGCCCAGATGGTTCAATCTATCGTTAAGGTATAAGCAGAAGTGGATGACAAAGATGACAGCATAAGGCAGGATCCTAGCCCTGGGGAACTAAAGGCCTGAGTTCCAGACCTCTTAAAACAGGTGTGGCCATCACTCCTGGTGGAGCCATGAAAGTGCTGGGAATTGGGCGGGAGTGCTGCTCACCCACTCACGTCTATTTGTCCTACTGTCAGTAGTCACAGACAACCACTGCAACACAAGGGGGCGATCTCTCACCAGCAGCCGGTTCACACATCTGGGATGATGTGCAGACACCTAAATGAACAAATGAATGCAACCATCCACAACAAATAAGATTTTGGACATTTAATTATTTAATTGGTTTTTAAGAGATTATTGCTACAATTAGGAAGAGAACATTGCAGGAAGGAGGAAGTTAAAGATGAGATTTAAAGGAGCAAGTACCATTTTCAAAGTATAAAACTGGTAATTAAATGACACGGCAGTATAGTCACAAAACTAGTGACTTCTAATACAGAAACAAGACAGTACCGTTTCTGCAGAAGCCAGTGGACATCTGCTAACAACATGATATTGTTAAGACATTCTGCCCACCTCTGCCAGATGGGGTGCTACTATAAGCAGATACACACAGAATAGAAAGCCCACAAATGTTAACTCGAACTAAGGCTCGTAAACGTAAATTAAAGTGGCTACAGTAGGTCCCTTTGAAAAACAGTCCCACAACCCTACCCCAGCCCAACCCCTGCAGCAATGTTATCACAGCACAGGGGATGGTCCTGGGGGGGACAGTGGAAGCAGAGAACAGTCTGTAGGGTACGTGCTTCTCCATTTTAGCAGCCGACAAACCACAGTGGTGCCTGCTGGGTGGGGCTGGGTCCCTGCACTTCCTCCAACATAATGAATGCATTGGAGACACAAAAGACAATTCACCCATAGCTCTGACCACCACTCCTCTCTCAGGAGATGCCCACCAGTTCAGCAGCTGGAAGGAACAGAACTTCCATGTCTGAAGGACCTCAGCCTCTCCCTGTCACACACACACACAGCAGCCACTCTTGGAACCCACAATGGACAGGATGAAACACACACACACACACACACACACACACACACACCCTGCAGCGACATGGCCACAGTTTTGTGTAGAAAGTACAGTGCAGAACATTTCAGACAAAAGTGGTGAGGAGCTTGGGGAAATGGTCATGTTGGCTCCCTGGGAGCATACCCAGCGAAGGGGCGAAAGGATACCAGCCTGAAGTGGCTGAATCCTCAGGAGTCCCTGAGAAGGGGAACCGATAGAGGAGTTTCTCCCAACCCAAACAAAACCTCAAAGACTGAGCCCTGCCCCGGGGCTGGGTCAGGAACAGCTACCACTGCTCCCCACTGAGGAAAAGGCACACACAGTATGTCGTCATTAGGGCAGGACAGAGGCTCAGGGGAGATCCAGGCAGGCCCCATGCAGGCAGAAAAGGTAGAAAGTGGGCACCGAGTTTGGCCCTGGCCCTGCACCATCCTGAGCAACTAGTCCTAAGATGAAACCCCAGGCCCTAGGCTATAACCGACACCATTCTATTTCCCTATTCTAAAATGTTACTCATCCTAGCCAGGGCTGAGAAGCGTCCAGTACCTGAGGCTGAACTGCCATAGTACCTTTGGGAGCTGAATAGAGAGGAAGGAGGCTGGAAAAACACACTAATGGAGCAAAAAAATGTTCCTGCCTTGGGGACTCGCTCATGCCCTCCTTGTACCAACTAGGGTGAATCAAGGCAACTTGTGAATGTGCAAACACATTCTCACACATGATGGCTTAACATTCTCACACATGATGGCTTAACGCAGTGGGGGAGGGGAGGACTACAATGAACTTCGGGGCCATATGTGAATTTGGGTGCTCATCCTACCCTGATACTCAAGAGAGGCAGCAACAGGCCAGGAAGTCCTAGATTCTCTTGGAATTAGTCCCTGCCTAGATCAAGAACAAGCCAGTGGGGGCACAATCGCAAATACGAATCTCCAAAGATGGTCAAAACCAAACATCAAAGGGGACTACACACTAGAAGAGGACCATGTACCACCCTACACGCCGCCACCATGTCTTGGGAAAATAAAACAAGCTGCAGTAAAAGTAACTCTGAGAGAGACAACTAGCCCACTCAAAGGGCAGGGCTGAAAGGGCCTCCTGCTTAGAGTTACAAACACCCACCGGGAAAACTTCTGTTACACGAATGCTTCCTATTTGACTACACCAATCTGCCTGAGACAATACGGGAAACCTATATCTATCTCAGACTGCACCCCAGCTTCCTAAGGAATCAGGACAGGTCAGAGCTGCCACACCATGATTAAGTGAAGGTAAAAGCTAGAAAGATCAGAGAAGGAAGTGGTTAAAACAATTCCTAGTGTATTATTTAGAACAAGGGCAAAATAATTACATAATGGAGTCCTTCGGGGTCTTCACATTAAAAACCACAGAAGGATGATGAAAGGAGGAACTCGAATCCTGAGGATCAAGCTGTCTCGTGGTCTATCTCGTTGTGCTCTATGGAGCAAGACCAGATGTTGAAACTCCGTGTGGCCTGTTCCACACCCTGAGAACCTTTGAAGGCCAGAAGCCCCCGGGCTCAGCAGGGCTTCGGAGAGCCGTTCATCTGGCTGCCCTGAGGTACGGCGTCTGTGCTGTAGAGGCTGTCCAGGAAGATGGAGGACAGTTCCGCCACCTGGTTCCGGTCCACAGTGGTCTGGGCCATGCCGTAGACCGCACCCTGCAAATCCAGCCACAGAACTGCCGTTAATGACGAGGGATCCAGGAACGGCTGTGCTGCTCCTCTCCCATCCTTGCCTTGCATGTACCCTCCTCTCCCAACTCCAACCCACCCAGGCTCCATTCCTTCAGAAAGAGAGCTGGCTCAGTAAATTGTCCCAGGTACTTGCCAGTCGCCTGCCTCTCTGCCCAAAGGAACTATCCTGTGGGATTTTATGTAAAAAATTCAAGAGAAAATTGGTTTATTGCCTCTCCTGTGTCAAATTTCCCTTTGCAAATGAACACTACCACCACCTGCCTTTGTATACAGCACTTAGAAATTTACAGGTTTCCTTATACACAGTATGTCTCATTCGAAATTAAAAAACCCTGGGAATGGACAAGGCAGAAATCATGGGCTACAGTGAAATAAGGAAACAGGCTTGTGGATAAGAGGCAGAGGCAGGAACAAACTTGAGGTCACCTGGTTCTTCCAACCTCCTCCCCTGAACTTCAACAGAGAAGGTAAAACCCCAAGCGCTCCTACCATTCCTGTGGCCTTTGCTTTAGGATTCTTCATGATTTGAGTGACAGATTCTCGGACGTCCTTTAGGAACTGTATGGCTACTCGCTTCCGTGTGTGTACTAACGTGACGCAGAAATGAATACTATGAAAGAGGAGAGAGACAGAGAGGTGAACCTTAGGGGGAAAAAAGTTTGAAATTCTAAAATAAAGGGATTTATTGGTTGCTCCTTCACGTTATTTGTGACAAGTGTGATCATCCACACTGTGCCCAGGGCTTGGAATCAGGGCTCCCACGTCCACGGCTTGTCAAGCACGGGCTGGCAGGCGGGCTTCTCGGCCTCATCGAGAACCTTCTTGACAGATGGTTACAGCGGCTGCGCTGTCCCACCCCTTCCCCTCAAAAACTGTCCACCACTAGTCCTTCAGTCATGTGGCCTTTATCTTTATCTTAGATGATAAACCCTCCTGGGGACTGGGCCATAGGCTGGGTCTTAAAGGATGTCAGGGTAAAGCAGCAGCTCTAAGCCCCTGTAGGACGTCTATGGTACAGAGGGATTGTGGAGAGGAAAAGCAGAGTCCAAATGAGGCTGGCAATGGTGCGAACGTGAAAGGATCAGGAGTACGAGGAGGACACTGAAGAGCCCTATTCTGCTGGGTGGGGTTTGACTTAAGGGCAGCAGGGAAGGTTGGTTAGAGAAGCGTGCTGGAGAAGACAGGAGCAGGCCTGAGTGACTAAAGCTCTCTGGGAGGTTGTGAGCTAAGTATTACTCAGGTACAAGTGGGTTTACAAGAGCAATATGAAGACCGTGTACAAGGTGATCTGAGAGTACAGAAGGAGAGTGGGGGGTGGGAGTCTTAGGACAGACCCCTGATCTCAAGAGGCTGCCACCTAACTGCCCGAGTTTAAAGATAATGGTCTTGTTCTGATACTGAGTTACTCCAGGTGTCAGGACAGAAATCCTAGATAGTACCATTGCCACTAGTGTAGGGCCATAGCCGCCCATCTCTATTTCAGATCACCTTGCTACTCAAGTTCTTCAAAAGCTACAGACAAAGGAAGGGAATGGGGATTCTTCAAGTTTACCTGGACGGGAACTGCAGATGGTTCAAGTTCCACCCTTTTGCAGTCATCAGATTAAACAGTCGGTAGATGTCAAAATCATGGGAGCCCAGAGCAATGACTGACATCTGAGGATCCCCAAAAACAAAGATGCCTTTGATATTTTCCAGTCTTAAAGCAAACAAGAAAAGGAACAAAAAGAAAATTCAGACACATATGGTCCTCTGGTCATCATCTCTTTAATCGCCCAACATTTCCCTTACAACCTAACCTTTGGGCTTTAGTTTTCTCAGCTTTAAATTAAGGTATCTAGACTGAGATCAGTAATTCCTAAGCATTACAAATAAAGGCCCAAACCATATCTAGTCCCAATGAATCAGAATCATTGGCTCCTAACGTGTCTGCCCAATCTCAAATTATGATATCACTCCCAGGGACATCTGAGGAATAAGAGAGACACTATTTAAAAATACTGAAAAAATCATCCCTCCATCCCTCAGTTTTAAAAAGTAATTAGTCCCTAAAGCAAGAACTAGTACAGTTCTCAACAGACAGGGATATCAGAATATGTGGGCCTTTTTCAAATGAGACATGTCCACTGGCCACTTTTATTCACCTCAAGATTCTGAAAAAACCTCCCACCCCTGGTGACAGACAGGCACTATGGGAACAGATATGCTCAACAGGGCACACAGCTTAGTTCTAGCCTTAGCTTAACCCAAGATTTCACCGCCGTCCCCTTCCCCATTCCTTCTCTAGTTCTTTTCTTATCCGTGATTCTCCAAGTGTGATTCATAGACCAGCAGCATCAGCATCCACTGGGAACTTCCTAGAAATGCAAATGCTCAGGCCATCCCAGATCTAACGAGTTAGAATTCTAGGAGCAGGGCCCAGGAATCTGCATTTTAATAAGCCCTCCAGGTGATTAGGATGCATCCTCAAATTCCAGAACCACTGTCTTGTCTCAGTCAGTAAACTGTCCCTCAGTACTTGGTAAGAACTGCCCGTGGTTAAGACATCCTTGGAAACAAGATGCTTTACATGAAGCCCTGATCTGACATTCCAAGTCACAGCAGAGCAAGGGAGCATTATCCTCCCAGGCCAGCACGACACTCCTCAGCTGCTGTTCTAAGTCCTTGTTCTCTCAGGAGACAACGAATGGGCTGGGGTTACAGGTGTGTGGCCAGGCAGATGCCTTGAGCACACTAACAGACAAAGCAAGAGACAAGGCAGAATCCCAATCTTCCACATACTCTGACTTGAGGAAGCGAGAAGTTTTGATGATCTGTTTGGTAGCTTCAACATAGCCGCTCTCACCAAAGTACATCATGGCAGCCCAGCAGGCTGCACTAATGCCACCAGGCCGTGAGCCCGCGATGGTTGGGGAAGCGTAGATGCCACCTTGCCAGTCTGGATCAACGAAGAACTGATAGCTCCTGTACTTCTTGTCACTGTATAACACCACGGAAGAGCCTTTGGGGGCGTAGCCATACTGAGGGGGAGAAGCAGACAGGTGATTGTACAGTTCTATTTGGCAGACCTGCCCTGCACGCTGATCATGGAAAATTTTCCCTCACATTCTCTGTGATGCTTCTCACGCATGTTAAAAATTCAAAGGTACAATGTTAACGGGTAGAGAGAACTGAAGGGTTGGAGTTGAAACTCTGTTTTAGGGATGAGGAATCCAAGGCCCAGGAGGAGCAGTGCCTTGTCCTGCTAATCAGTTTACTTCCCCTTTCCCAGCACGTTGTTTTCCTTATTTAAAACATAATTCCAGGGCAGTATGTCAGGATGAAAGCAAAGATAAAGTGCCACCGGAAGCCAGGAACCCAAGTCACTCAAGTCAGCTACAATCACAACCTGACTCCCTTCTCATCCTTGTTTACTTATTAGTCCTTTCTACTAAGAACTTCATGGTGTTCCTCATCCAGTTTTATAATAAACTGATCTAGATTTTGTCTCAGTCCATGAGGTGGGGGCAGGAATATTTCAAACATTACAAGCCAAACATTCCTGAGCACATTAAGTTCTCCCCTTTTTCTAAAGGACTCTTCCATCAGCATAGTCCTGCCACCCAGGTGCAGGAACCCAGCGGCATGGGAGCTGCGGCACTTACATACTTCCCTCAGGAAGCCCAATGCAACCTCCCTCCGCCTCCCCCCAGATTGTCTCAAGGCTCAGGGAACTTTTTTTTTTTTTTTTTTTTAATATATTTTTATTGATTTCAGAGAGGAAGGGAGAGGAAGAGATAGAAACATCAATGGTTGAGAGGGAATCATTGATTAGCTGCCTCCAGTACATTGGACTGAGCCTGTAACCCAGGCATGTGCCCTTGATCAGAATCGAACCTGGGACCTTTGTGTTCATAAGCTGACATTCTATCCACTGAGCCAAACCAATTAGGGTGGGAACTAACTTTTAAAAGGGCCACTACACTAACATGTTCCAGTTATAGAAATTCAGCTATAAGACACAAAGATAATGGGTTCCTTTCCACTATTGCTTGTCATTTCTACCACTATACCTTGTCACTTAAATTAACCGCCCTGGTGAAAGCAAAGAGCCAGATTTCCTTTTACATTTTGGGAAAAGCTAAAGCTTTAACCAATTTATTTTGTAGATAATAGTCAACTAACTGTCTCTTCTGACTAACATTTGGTTCCTTCTTAGCTCACCTTATGAGTATCCGCTGAAATGCTGGTCACACCTTTCACCCGGAAATCAAATGGTTGCTCCAGTGGGTATCCTGCTTTCTCCATAAAGACGATGAGAAAGCCCCCCAGACAAGCATCTACATGAAGAGGTATTTTGTATTTGACAGCCAGCTAGTTCCAAAAAACAAAGACCATAAGAGAATTTCATTTACAGCCCTGTAACAAAAACTTTGCAAAACAAGTAGGCTGTAATCATAAGGACATTATGTACTACTAGTGGCCCAGTGCACAAAATTCGTCCCTCAACCTGTGCCCTCTCACAGTCTGGGAGCCCTCAGGGGATATCTGACTGACGGGTTATGCCTGCTCCCTTTTGAGAGGACCTACGCAGTCAGTTGGATATCCTTAGCACTGCCTCGGAGGCAGGAGAGGCTTCCGCCACTGCTGCAGCACTCACCAGCTGTGAACCTGGCTTCTGGTTGAGCATCACTACCCCTGTGGGAGTGACCACCAGGGGGCAGCTCCTGCGTTGAGCATTTGCCCCCTGGTGGTAAGTGCACATCATAGAGACCAGTTCTGCTGTTTGCTCGATTTGCATATTAGTCTTTTATTATATAGGACATCTTCCATGTTTTAAGAAGCCTGCTACTTTTTGACATTTCCAATAAAAAAAAAGTTCATCTTTCAAATGTATTTAGCCTTCAAAATAATTCATCTGAAATGTGGTGTTTATTTTATATTTAAATATGCAGGGCCTCACATTCATTGCAAAATCATGCAGAAAATGAGCAGCACTCTGATTCCGGCTGCCTCTGGAGTGGGTCAAAGGTCCTTCTTGCTAACTGCCCAGCAGGGAAGGAGGGAGGATGTGTTATGGAGCAGCAGATTGAATACCACTGTCTGGTAGGCATGCTCCTAAATACAAATCATTTCCTGATCTGAATTGAAATGTTAGTCCTACTTCCAAATATCCTATTTAAACAAAGGCTTCTTCCTTCTATTCTCCTCCCCCACAGCAGAAGCCAGTAACCTTCAGAGGCTCCAAACAGAGCTGCAGAGTTTGCCACAGAGCTATTCACCACCCATGTGCTAAAATCTAAATTCAAAATCTCTTCTATTTGCCAAATACTGTACCATGAGATTCCATTTTAAAATCTCAGTTTCACTGCCTAGTGGTTCCTTTTTCTCACATACCTTGGCCACTTCAGGAACAGGGTCTATCACACCGTGAGGGAACTGTGGGGTAGAACAGACGAGCATGGCAGTGTTCCTGGAGATGGCTCTTCTCATTGCCTAGGAGTTACACGTGGGAAGGAAAATGAGCATCCACATCTCAGTTACTCTCCTATTCCCCTAACAAGATTAATCTAGTCTTTGCACTTCAGCTCCACTACTGCCCCTTCCTTTACCTCTCCAACCTGGGAGAAGCCTGCTGCCCACCATGGTAGCAGAATACAAACAAGGCCAGATGGGTCCATTGGGGGAAAAGGGAGCACAATACAAAAACAGCAAAATCACTGAGGGGAAAAGAATTCTGGGCTAGGAGATAAAAGAGCAGCCAACTAGCAGTGAAACCTGGTGTAAACTTCTTCACTCCACCCAATCTGTTTCCTCATCTGTGAACTGCAATAATACTAACAGCTTCTACGACCTCTCTGGGCTGTCCTAGGCTCCAATGCAATTCCGATAGCACTCTGAATGCTGGAAAGTTCTATACAAATGCAAGGCATAAAATTAATCATGAAAGGAGTATTATTCAGCCTTAAAAAGAAATCCTGCCATTTGTGACCACATAGGTGAACCTGGAAGATACTTCACTGACTTAAATAAGCCAACGACAGAAAGACAAATATTGCATGATCTCACTTAGATCTAAAACCCTGAACTTGTAGAAGCAGAGAGTAGAACGGTGATTGCCAAAGTTTGGGAGTGGAGGAATGGGGAGATGCTGGTCAAGGAGTACCAAGATTCAATTATACAAATACGTTCTGGAGATAAAATGTATTGCCATGTGATCACTAAACAAGTTTTCTTAATACTGCATTATATATTTGAAATTTAATTAGAGATCTACAGGGCAGTATCAAGTATTTCCACCAAAATATAAAAAAATAAAAATAAAATGAAAATGTTAACTATGTGAGGTAATGAAAATGTTAAAAGCTTGATTGTGTTGACTACTTCACAATGTATACTTACATCAAAACATTAAGTTGTAATATATACAATTTTTAATTTGTCAATTAATGGTACACTAATGCCTCAATAAAGATGGGGGGGATAATGCTGATGCTAATAAATTGGAATAGTTTACTTATGGAAAAAATCATTACTTTATATTGGCAATGATGCTCATTCAGGCCAATCAAAACCAGAGTAACACCCTGGCTGGTTCTGTGCGACCTGTATACCAAATGGTTCAATTCCCAGTCAGGGCATATCTCTTCTCTCTCTCCCTCCTCTCTCTTCTCTCTCTTCTCTCTCTTCTCTCTCTCTCTCTCTCTCTCTCTCTCTCTCTCTCTCTCTCTCTCTCTCTCTGTCTCTCTCTCCAATAAAAACATATCCTCCAGTGAGGATTTTTTTTTTTAAATTATAAAAAAAACATACAAACCACAGTGAGAGTCTTAGAGCAAGTTAGGACATGCTTATTTCACAGAGAAAAGAAAGAGGCAGTGCTGAAGCAAACCCAGGCCTTTAAAGTTAGGAACAAACGGATGAATCTGTGAAAAGACTGAAGCTGCAATCAATCAGCACTGCCAGTGGAAGATTTTGCAACTCTGGCCACTACAATCAAAGACATTTTGAGCCTATCTGCATGTGACTCTGGAAAAAAACAGTCAGTCTGGTACACTTCCTGCTTCTCACAGCCCAAGGCAGACAATGGCCCTTCAGAGGAACTCACCCGAACATCCACCTCCATCTTTTTGTTTAGTGGAACCCGTACAATCTTCATCCCAAAATAATGGGCTGCCTTGTCAAATGCAGCGTGGGCACTCTGGGGGGCCACACTGAAATGTGGGAAGAAGAGAATAATGAAATTCAGATCAAAATGAGGTTCAAAAGAGCACAGTTAACAGCTAACCGAGTAAACTTCTGGTTACTTTTCCTCAAAAATTTTAAAGTGTTTATATTTACTCTTTAAGCACAAAAAGATATTCTAAGGAACCTTCTCCCTACTATGTCGGGAATCATTTTGGCAACAGGAAGAACTTGGAAGTAATCCCACATTGAAGGATCCAAAATATAAATTAGGACTGACAGGTAAAAGAAGAGGAAAACTGGATCAAATTAACATGAAGACAGGCACATCAGAGGAGAGCAAGCTTCCTGACACGGTACATGTTCAGGCAGAAAACACAAGACTGCTTGGCAGGGCTGTTAAAGCAGCAGCCAAGCTTCAGATCAAAGATCCCCTCCATCTTTGAAAGACCATGATCCTATAAGAAACTATAATCTCCATTTGCACTGCACACTTGGAAGTAGCATTTCAAATAGTATTAAAAAAGGAAACTAAGTCATAGTTAAGTATTTGCTTTCAGATTTCCCTTAATGATTCCACTCTTACAATTAACCTATTCCCTTTAATGGAGAAAAAGCTCTCCTACTAAGTACCAAGCACCAAAGATTTATGCTTGAAGAAATATGGTAGCCTGATTTATTCTGTTAGGCTTAAGTAGGAATCACAGTATGAAATCATGTGCAATCAAGGCCTTAGTCACTGACACTTATGGGAAAAACATTAATCCAAATAACATATAAACACACTGTACAAGGAGAGGATCTACAGAAAAAAAAAAAATAATGCAACCAAATATCAAAACTAATGGGTTGGGCCCTAGCCAGTTTGGCTCAGTGGATAGAGTGTCAGCCTACAGAATGAAGGGCCCCAGGTTTGATTCTGGTCAAGGGCACGTGCTGGGTTGCAGTCTCGATCCACAGTAGGGGGTGTGTAGAAAGCAGCTACTCAATGATCCTGTCTCGTCATTGATGTTTCTATCTCTTTCTTCCTCTCCCTCCCTGTCTGAAATCAATACAAATACACTGCAAAACAAAACCAAAAACTATGGGATGGCAATATGGGTAAACCTCAAAAAGATTTAAAAATTTTCTATCCCATAAAACTACCCTTAGCTTAAATTTTTTTCTTTAAATATATTTTTATTAATTTCAGAGAGGAAGGGAGAGGGAGAGATAGAAACATCAATGATGAGAGGAAATCATTGACTGGCTGTCTCCTGCACACCCCCTACTGGGGATTGAGCCTGCCACCAGGCATGTGCCCTGACCAAGAATCGAACAGGTGACCTCCTGGTTCCTGGGTCAATGCTCAACCATTGAGCTACACCGGCCAAGCTAGCTTGTAATTTTCTTAGGGGAACTGCAAAGCAGCCTGTAATATAACTTTCATTGAACTAAGATAAACAGAAGATTGTTGCTTAGGCTCCAAATAATTTATAATAAATATCACAGAATTCAAAGATATAGTCTTGTCACTCTGTCACTTAGAAAAAGGATCTCATTTTTGCTTGAAGAATATATTCCATGTATAAAGGAGAGGTGCGGGTCAGGGTGGAGGGGATGATTTTGAAAATTAACTGGCTGATTCTCTTAGGATTTTGGTGAATGTAAAGAGATAGGGCTCAAGGACACAGGATAGGAGGAAAGAGGACTAGAATTGCCAAAGGAAGAGAAGAAGCTGAAAACAGTCAGGTGTTTCATACAGCAGCATTCCAGACAAATCTCAGCGGGCGGGTGAGAAAACGACACAGCCACACATACATACATTTCTGGAGTTCTGATCCCGTTCTCGAAGGCCAGGTCCCGATAAGCTTTGCAGGCCATCAGTATGCTTTCTGTACCCCCAGAGGTCACCTGTGAAAAAGGAGAGATGTCATCTGTGGAGGGAAGTGAGGGATAGTTATCAGCCTGCCCTGGTTTTGAAGGTGGCTGGTACAGGGCAGACACTGCTATGTCTTCCAGAAGGGAAACTTGGTTTTGTTTGCTAAGCCCATGCTGGGTGCAGGAGAAGAGTAAAAACACTAAGATGAGCAGAAGCTCCATGGTATCTGGACAACTTGCACATCTGCCCAGATCTGAGCACAATCCCATTTCCTCATTAATTCCTCCAATTGCAGATAGGACAGGGCATTTTACACCATTCAAAAGCATCAGGGTTGACTTTGACTTAAATTTTCAATGACCAATAAGAACATGAAATTGTGTAGTTACAGTTGTAGTAAACTGTGCAATACATTACAAGACCAAGAACAGATAACTAGGCACTCTAAAGTGAAGAGCTGGTTTTTTACAAGTTTGAAAGAAAAAGAAGCCTCTATTAGTTTGCTATCTGAAATCAAAACAAAAATCCTAATGTTTCTAAATGAAATAAAATGTTTTCCTGAAGTGAGGTCTAGCAACTCTGATACTCAGCAGTCATCTCATTCATCCTATAAACCCCAAGGACTACAATCTCATAAGGGTGCCGAAACCGGTTTGGCTCAATTGATAGAGCGTCGGCTTGGGGACTGAAGGGTCCCAGGTTCGATTCCGGTCAGGGGCATGTACCTTGGTTGCCGGCATATCCCTAGTAGGGGGTGTGCAAGAGGCAGCTGATCGATGTTTCTCTCTCATCGATGTTTCTAACTCTATCTCTCTCCCTTCCTCTCTGTAAAAAATCAATAAAATATATATTTTTTTAAATCTCATAAGGGTGAGGACCAATCTGTTCAGGACAACATTCCTAGCACCAAGCCTCATAGCAGACACCTAACAGGCCCTCAGTTAACTTTTCTTAATGCCCGGTTTGACTCTCAGTAAGCCATGACTAACACAGGCATATCATGCCCTCCTAGCTATCTTTCGATAACATCCAAGAATTAGTAACTTTAAAACAAACCAAAAAAGAAAAGCCACAGCACTGAGCTAGGTGGATATTTTCTTAAATTTTCCATATCCAAAGACTCACATGATCTTATATGGCTTTTTCATTATACAGGTGAGAAAACTGAGCTGCTGAGAGACTAAAGTGATGCACCCAATGTTATCCATTAGCATCTGTTGATAAGTAAAACTTCCTATGTTTTTGTATTTAATGTAGCTAAATGTGAGACAGAATGAAAGAGGGTAATTACTGAAGCTTCCTAAAATAATATCCACATATAGGACAAAAGTAGCATTCGATACCAAATCCCAGTAGTCAGGAGTTAAATGGAAGATTAGCTGAGAAAAGTCATTTTTGATTTAGGAAGTCTTCATGAAACATGTGACCACAAAGTAATGCACTGAACGTGGGCATAACACACTTGTGTGTAGGTCTCTGAACTTCAATGCTGGAGAAGACAAAAGTGCTTACACTGAGGTCAGCTCTGCACATCAGCAGTATGTCCTGTGCTCCAGCTAAAACCTCAGAATGTCACATGAGAAGTCAAACCAGCTGTGAAGCAAGTCGGAAAGGACCAGCAAAGTCAGTCTCCAGGGAGTCCATCTCTTACTAAGGTCGTAATGACACACGCAAAAATATTTCCAAACCCTAGTTACTCACTTCACATGTCCTATATTTAGTTCAACTGTTAAGCAAATCAACATTGATATTTGTTAAGGAAATACCAGTGTATTTTTTTTTTTTACTATTAAAGCTGGGATACCTCAATTCTAATTCTTATTTCTGATCCCTAAATTCTGTTTTAAGATTCTCCCATTTCCCTCCTCCCCCTGCCCCCAAAGGGAAATGAAAATTTAGCTGGGAAGAATGCAGAGACTTCAATAACTACTTGTTGTTCGTCAGCTTCTTTTAACATTTATAATTCTCACTCTAACATATGAAATGTGTGTCAAAAACAAGAGTAGGACATGACCTGTTTGGAAATTTTTCTTTTAAGGTGATGTTTGGTCCTACTGACACCTGCATCAGCCAGGACTAGTTTCCTTGGCAACCTAATTTCTTTTGATATATAGTCTCCTCTCATCCATTTTGAAGCAAATGAAGTTAATAAAAGGAAAAAAAAAAAAGGTGAAGGCTAAAACACAAAGAACAAGAAGTGTAATACCTTAAATGGGAATAGTCTTAAGACAGCTCAACTCTTAAGGCTTCGTCTTCATGTTCCCCACCTATGAACTTTCTTAACCCAAAGCAGCTCCTCAAGAGAGAGATAGAGCCAGAAGTTGAGAACTCGAAGGATCCCAGAGATTTCAGTCTAAAGTCTAAGCGTTAAAGAGACTGGGGATCTTAGACTCCATCCTTCTCCTGAACAGTGACATATCCACAAAGAAGATCATAAAAGGAGAGACATGGTTTAGTTGTACCTAAGCAAAAGCAAAGTACAAATACCCTAGCGCTGGAATACTGGAAGACTAAAACTACCTCACGGACTTCCTCCCAATACCTGTAAGAATAAAGAAAAACAGTAGTGACAACGTGTAATAAGAACCAAAGGAGGAACGAGATATAATCTGATGCAATAAAGTTCCATACTGGCAATGAAAAGAAGAAACAAGTTTCCAATCCATAGCAGAGAGCAAAACACAGTTCGTAATCCCTCTTCTAAGCCCTGGAAATTATCCAGCAAAATCCTGACCATTCTCATTAATACTCCAAATCTTCGGAGAAGCAAACAGAAGGGGTTTCCTTATCTTTTCTCCTACTCTTCAGATCAGAGTGGTAGACACGGCAGCTAGGGAGAAAGAGCAAAATGGGGAGAGAACATCTGGACTGATTCTTTCAAGTGGAGACAAAAGAAAATGGCATGGTAACGATGCAAACATATACAAAGAAGGAAGTAGCATGCAAAATAAAAGTCCAGCTCCAAAGGTAACCACCTAAGGAACAGAAGGAAATTCCTCATGACTGTTTCTCACTATAGCACAACATAATAAGGTCATGATTCTAGAAAAGAGTTGAAAAGCTGGACACTGAAACAACAAAATAAGACTGCAAACTTTATAAAAACGAAGTACCAAACAGCACCAATACAGAACTAGAAACAGAAAGGAACCGAATAAACACTGCTGAGAATAAAAAGACTGACTTACGGGAAAGGTTTAAGGTAAATTTAGTGAACCCAGATAAATAAGACAGACTGAAAGATCAATGTCACTCCACACTTGAAGAATTGTGTCCATCTGGCTGCCATAGATAACCAAAAAGTGTTCAGAAAGAATGACAGGGAAGGATGGCAATCTGTTTGGAAATCGTATTCCCTAAGGAACAGCTGAGTAACCTAGGAAAAACAGGGAAGAGATTCAGGTGTAAAGAGGCTTTCAAGTACATAAAGATCTCTCACATGGGGAAAAAACAAAACATTCATGGGACTTCTATTTCCAGCAATACAGATTATATACCTTGGGCAACACTCCTACCTGAAACTAAAAAACCTGGTAAGCCCTATCGGGGTTGACTCAGTGGTTAGAGTGTCGGCCCCTGGACTAAAGGGTCATGGATTTTATTCTGGTCAAGGTCACGTACCTCATTTGCAGACACAATTCCCAGCCTGCTCAGGGCGCATTCGGGAAGCAATCAATAGATGTGTCTCACATCAATGTTTCCCTATTTGTCTCTCCCCTCCCTTCCACTCTCTCTAAAAAAATCAATGGAAATAATATCTCCAGGTGAGGATTAATTTTAAAAAGCCCTGATAAAACATTATTTTTTTTATATCCCCCACTGAGCTAACGTAAAGGAATATCTGAAACTGCAAATAAAACAGAATACTTCAAAAGCCGAGACCGGTTTGGCTCAATGGATAGAGCGTCGGCTTGGGGACTGAAGGGTCCCGGGTTCGATTCCAGTCAAGGGCATGTACCTTGGTTGCGGGCCTATCCCCAGTATGGGGTGTGCAAGAGGCAGCTGATCGATGACTCTCTCTCATCGATGTTTCTGACTCTCTATCTCTCTCCCTTCCTCTCTGTACAAAATCAATAAAAAATATATATATTTAGAAAAAAAAGAATCCTACAAAATAAGTGAGTGCCAAAGCTGGCTTTACCTCTGAAGGTGGCTGCCAATTCCAAGAGACCTTAAACTCCCTCGCCCATTCAAGAACAAGAGATAAATTTAGGACCTGCCCAAAGAAAGGAGGCTAATGGGAGATGGCTGGAAAAAAATGAAATTACACCCATAATCTGAGGGTTACAAGGAAAATATCCCACTGGTACAGAAGAGGACATCAAGAAAAATTGCTTTTCTCAACCCTGTTGCTCAGGAAAAGAATAAGGATTTCTAAAGCATGTATAACAAGGCAGCCTTTATGTGAGTTTGTGGTTTGAACTCAACTACCTCTGTAATGCAAAACTATAAGCTGTGAACTGAACTAAAATTGGTTCCAATGTGGTAGTACTTCCCAGCAACTGACAGAAGTAATTACAAACCTTTTTTTGGAAGAATTTAACTTCATTCTGGGCCTTAGAGTTAAGTTCCCAGGAAAATGAGTGGTTTGTAGTAAAAAAATAAATAAATAACATAACTATAAGGATGCAAGACAACACAAGTGAAACCAACAGAAACAGGAAGGCCATGGACAATGGAACTGTCAGAAGAGAATATAAAATAATTACATGCAACATATTTTAAAAAAACTACAAGCCAAAGGACAATAAAGAACCACCAAACAAGATTTAAAAACAAAAGAAGAGCTCAGCCCATGTGGCTCAGCTGGTAAGCACTATCCTATGCACCAAAGGGTTGCTGGTTCGATTCCTGGTTAGGGCACCATTCCTGATCGGGGCATGTACTAAAGGCAACAGATCAAAATCAATCTTTCTCTCTCTCCCCCTTCCTCTCTCTAAGCATGTCCTCTGGTGAGGATTAAATGAATGAATGAACGAACGAATGAACCAAATAGAATTCTCAAGAATGAAAAATACAGTAAACAAAATTTAAAAATCCAATGAAAGACTAAAATGTAAATTAGACATAACTAGAAATTTAATAAAATCCCTGTACTGATGACACAACTCCAACAATTATCAGCTCACTGCCAGTCTTTTCATCTACCCCAACTGCCCAGGCATTGTTATTGAGAAAATCAGTTGTTCTAATAGTTATATCTTTACAGGTAATTTTGTTTTGTGTGTTTTTTTCCTGGCTGCTTTAAACCCTGTTTTAGCCTCTCACTTTAACCTTCATGTTTCTTAACTTCACTTTTGTACTTTCTATTTATTTGTCTCTGGATTCTTTTTCTAGTTATTTTTAAATCTGTCTTGTTCCATAAATTTTACTTAGAAACCATGTAAATATTTTACAGAGTTATAAATGAACCAGGGTTCCATGGACAAATGGCTGACCCCGGGTCTGGAGTAGAAATGTACAGGATGACCATGGAATAATAAAAATATTTTGTTAAAAAAAAGGAAAGAATGGAAGCTTTACTAGTAAAATACTATGTAAGACATGCAAAAGGACCTAGGAACCAAAATTAGAAAGCTCTCATTAGTCAAAAATGGAGCAATCTGGGCATCAATTTGAGGAACAACCATAATGGACTAAAACATACATAATTTCCTTATCCACCCTACTATTGATAGACAACTGATTTATTTTCAGTTTTTAGCTAACACGAACAATGTTGCTATGAATATATGTCTATCCCAACACACATACGTTTTTCTAGGATATATCCTGAGTTGGAGAATTTCAGGGTCATAAGACTTCTATCTTCAACTTTATTGGGTAAGGTCAAAGTGTTTTGTGCTTGTTTAAGCACCTTTGGTCTCTTAAAAGAAATAGTCTGATGGCACAGGAGACTACTACCGTGCTTCCCTGAAAATAAGACATCCTCCGAAAATAAGACCTACCGCATGGAAAGATAAGACATCCCCTGAAAATAAGACCTAGCGCAACTTTGGGAGAAAAAATTAATATAAGACACTGTCTTATTTTCGGGGAAACAGGGTACATACTATAAGTATATCATCATCTCCCCTTTATGTCATGCTGTTCATCAAAATGCCATAAGAGAACCCATTATCAGTCCAGTTTGTAACCATTTTAGAATTATTTTTGGGAAATGAATTCCATGAATACCAGTTCTGTTACCTACTGAATATTTGAACATGTTGATTTACCATGGTGCCAACATAATAATAAAACAGTACACCTACTGGAAAAACACAAAAGGTAACTATTGAAAGTTGTTATCTTTGGATGGGCCCTTCGATAATTAAATATGCAGACCTTTTAATGATTACAAAAGTATCTGAAAGGGTGAGCACCTGTAGGTTACCACTGCAGCACACTGGGTTAAATCTAACGCTATCCTGCATAAGCTGAGATTTCGTTTTTTCTAAGAAGACAGTATCAGTTTGTAGTAACAAATCTAAACAGAAGTTTATCTATCACAGTTTAGAAAAACTAACAAATGTCTACTGAAAAGAATAGTTGAAACGTATGTGTCTTAAATATAAATTATACCTCTTGTTTTATTCCTAAACCAATTAAATGAGATGCGATTCATAGCAAAATCAGCAAGCATCCAGCTCAAGTAAAATGAGCAAGTATAAAAATAAGTCATGGTTCATGACTTGGTTCATGACATGGTTCAACAAATTATATAAGTAAGTGGATAGGAAGGTGGGTGGATGAAAGAAAGGGAAGAAGAGAAAGAAGGAAGCAGAGAGCAGATAGGGCAAAATATAGTTAGTGAATCCAGGGTGTTCTTTAAACTATTCTGGCAACTTTATGTAAATGTAAAATTTTTCAAAGTAAAAAATTGAAGAGAAAGATTATCTAGAAGAATATATGCCAAAATGTTGATACTCTATGAATCACAGAACTACAAGCAGTATTTTTTTAAATATATTTTTATTGATTTCAGAGAGGAAGGGAGAGGGAGAGAGAGAGAAAAGTCAATGATAAGAGAGAATCATTGATTGGCTGCCTCCTGCATGCCCCTTACTGGGGATCAAGCCCGCAACCCAGGTACATGCCCTAGACTGGAATAGGACCGAGAACCCTTCAGTCCTCAGGTCCATGGTTTATCCACTGAGCAAAACTGGCTAGGGCTATTGACTCTTTCTACAATAATCACATATCATCTATGTAATAAAAAAAGTAAAATGTTCTAAATAATTTTTCCTATTTTAAGCTAAAAAAATACTGGATGCCACTTGCATATACTTACACATCCACAGGAATCTGGTCCCCCATTGAAAAGGGAACAAGCTATCCTCACAATCTCTGCTTCTATCTTCCGTAGTCCTGGGAAGATATCTGGATGCAGGGGATTACTCCATGCAAAATCTCCATAAGCCTGCAAAGGAATGCAAGCAGATATGAAGCAAGACAATTAAGCTGTACAGGACAAACAATCATACACTAAACCAAAATTTCCAGGTATTAGACACATTAGACACTGGAAAAAGGTAAACTATGTTCCCCAACCTAAAGAAGATCAAAATCAGTGGAGGAAGCACACATGTAAATAAATTATTTTACAATGTGGTAGGAGAGGAAGTATAAATGTGGTTAAAAGCACAGATTACAACACCAAGCAGACTCAGTTTGAAGGTTAAGTAAGCTTCACCTGTCACTTCTAGCTGTGTAATCTCAGGAAAAATAGCCTCTGAGGCTCAGTTTTCTCATATGCTAAAAGGGGTAATTAAGGTACTGATCTGATAGGGTTCTGGCGATAAGCAAATAACTAATGTAACACATGCAAAGCACTTAGTAGAGTGTCTGGCAACAAAGCAGCGATTGTTCTAAGTGCAATGCCAGATGTGAGTGTATGAGGGTAAGGGGCCTTAAAGAGGGAATAATGAGCAACCTGAGTGGTCTGAAGGTGTCTGCTGAGTGGAACCTTGAGAGAAATAGGAATTCATCATTTACAACAGGTGGAGTGAAGGAGAGAAAGGCAAACAACGTTAAGAGCAGCTGTACTCTGTGAAAAGAAAAGGCACCTGCTAGTGTTTACATGGGAAAGTAATAGGAGTGTTTGCCAAAAGTAGGTGGGAGCTGGCTCATGAGGGACCTGGTATTTTCCGCCTCATAAGCAGCTTGTATTTTATCCTGTAGAATCAGTGTAGATGATAGGAAGCCACTGAATTATTTTTAAACACAGAAATAAGATTGGAGCATTATATCAAGTTACAGCTGAGCAAAACCTGTATTTAGTACGGTATAAGCAGTTTCATAATTATAATAATCAAACACAAATATCTCAGAGACCAGTCAATGCCGATTTTATATGGCAAAGTGGGATTTTAAAATTAAATCTGACTAGAAATGGAAGATGCTAAAGGCAATTCTAAAGTCAACAAAAAATGAAAAGTATTTTCATTATAAGTGAAACCACACTCATTCTCAGGTCATCTGATTTGAGAGTCGGGTAGTATCGGAAATTATAATCAAGTTTCTCTCCCTTGTCTCTTCTTATCAAACAAAATGTGTCATAATGTTAATAATCTCAAACTCTGGGAATATCTTCCCTGTTAATCAGCCTACTACACAGGGTGTCAATAAAGCCTGCAAACATTAACAATATTTTACTTTAATACAGACTGAAGATATCTTTAATAATATTATACATGTTCTCCTGTTGGGTGAAGAGAAACTTTCTAAACTTTAGTTTTATTTTAACAATAAACGTTTCTGAAGTAATATTTAAATTACAAAGTAGACACCAATGAGGCACTATAAACGGGCACAGACCACACATGCTCCCCCCGAGCCCTGGGCTTCACCTTCACGAGGAGCTCAGTGAGCTTCTCCTCCCCACTGTACACCGCTCCAGAGGCTCGGCCTTCTTGCCACAAGACATCTGCAGAGGAAGTGAACAGCAGAAACTTTTAGGAGGACAGGAAGGGTCTAAGAAGAGGAAATGCTAAGGAAGTCCTTTGAGTACAAAAGAAAAAAAAATTTTTAGTGGAAACCCAAAGGTGCCTTTATATTACGGTACATCAAGAAAGAAAAAATCCATTACAGCTACCACAGCAAAATAAAGATCAATTAGTATCAGCATCTGAAAGATACCCACAGCACCTAGTACAATGAAGTCCAGTAAGCATGCTGTCCTCTTCTCCAACTGCCTCCTAACATCAGAAACATTTTCCTCCACCTATATATGATTCTATGTTCTCTACAGGGCTTAGCTTGGCCTTTGTCAGCAATGCTTCCTTCTTCCTCCCGACCTTCCTGTCTAGTCCTAGGAAGTGTGGGAACTATGAGCAGAGGTGGCAGAGAAGAAGTGAAATTTCAGTATACAGTCAGGAGGGTTGGAGTCAGGGAACTGGATCATGACTACACAAGCCACAATGAGACATCTTAGTCTCAGGGCCCCTCCTTCAGACAAGAGTCTGGAAACCCACACAGAATTAGCCACCTGCTTCCAGCAACATCTGCTGCTACATCCAGGGTCAGAACAGTCAACATTGGGGTAAAGCTCACCGGAAAGATTCCTGACCAGAATATAAGGCCCAACTTTCCATCTCCTGCCTGAGGATCCACATTACACACTCTACATTATACCAACAAATGTGTCTCAGGTCTTTTTGCTACAATATGGCTATGCCATATTGAAAGTGAGTAGTGAGAAAGCTATTACAAAAACACATTAAAGACTATAGTCATGAGATCCACAAAACAAAGATCTTCAGCTCCAACAAGAGAGCAGAGGACTGAGTAGCAAATATCTAGACTAATCCCTCAATCTCACCAACCTGCCAAACTCTGGTTTGCTGCCAGCTTGACTTCCCTCTGTCCTTAGAGGATCCTGCTCTGTACCAGGTGTATGTTCAGACCAGAGGCTACCAGACTTCAAAATTAGGATACATGGTTTCATTTCATGTTCTTTTACTGCTGCTACAGAGTATACCAATGGATGGTGACTTAAAACTGGAAAGGAAGGCAGCAGCCAGACCTCATAATCACAGAAACCCTTAATATACAGGTCTCAGAGTGCTAATTCCTGCTTTATATCATCTATAAACCCTGGACTATACCTAATTTTGTACCTGCAGATGTCAAAGCTCAACACATTGCATTTAACATTTTTAAATGTATTTTTTATTTTTTTAATGTATTTTTATTGATTTTAGAGAGGAAGGGAGAGGGAGAGAGAGATAGAAACATAAGTAATGGGACAGAATCATTGATTGGCTGCCTCCTGCATGCCCCCTACTGGGGATCAAGCCCATAAAGCGGGCATGTGCCCTTGATCAGAATCAAACCTGGGGCCTTTCAGTCCACAGGCCAACATGCTCTATCCACTGAGCCAATCTGGCTAGGACTAAAATGTATTTTTTAAATGCAACATGGTATCCTGGGCTGGATCCTAGAACATAAAAAAGTACATTAGTGGAAAAACTGGTGAAATCAGAATAGAATTTGTAGTTCAGTTAATAGAACTGTACCAATATTAGTTTTTTAGCTTTGACAAATGTTAGTTTAATTGTTAAAATCAGGAGAAGCTGGATAAGGGATAGATGGGAAATCTCTGTATTATCTTTGCAAATTTTCTATAAATTATGCCAAACTAAAAGGCCTTTTAAAAAGTATTCATAGCCGGGACCGGTTTGGCTCAATGGATAGAGCGTCAGCTTGGGGACTGAAGGGTTCCGGGTTCGATTCCGGTCAAGGGCATGTACCTTGGTTGCGGGCATATCCCCAGTAGGGGGTGTGCAAGAGGCAGCTGATCAATGATTCTCTCTTATCGATGTTTCTAACTCTCTATCTCTCTCCCTTCCTCTCTGTATAGAATCAATAAAAATATATTTTTTTAAAAAGTATTCATAATATGACTTTAATGTGTAACAAACATGCATCTGTGTTAACATTTATTGAGCACTTACTATATACCAGGTATTATACATTTACATGTATGATCTCATTCTATCTCTATAATCATCCTTTCAAATAAGTATTATTATTCCCATTGCAGAGAGACAGAAGTTGAAGCATAGAGAAATTAAGTAACTCACCCATTTTTATTACACATATTATCTTTTCAAAGAACAAATATATCTGTTTTTCTCAGGCTTACAAAAGGAAATGGAACCAAGTTCCACTGTCTCTGAGATTTGTTTGTTTTATGGATGAAGGATGAATCTAAATATAAATTTTAAAATACGAAAGTCAACATTTGAGACAGGCCCTTCTGAGCATTTATATATCTGGATGAACCATTTCTTTTCCTTTTCTTGCACATGTGAGAAAGAGGGTGAGACTGAGTGTGTGTCTAAGAGAGAGAGAGAGGGTGAGACTGGGTGCGTGTGTGTGCGTGTGTGCGTGCGTGTGTGTGTGTGTGTGTGTGTGTGCACGTGTGTGTGAGAGAGAGAGGGAGAGAGAGAGAGAGAGAGAGAGAGAGAGAGAGAGAGAGAGAGAGAGAGAGAGAGAGAGAGAGATATATGGCACTAGGATGAATTGTTCTTAACTTCACAAACATTAACTGACCGCCAGCCAGGTTACTGAAATAGGTAGCATGCATGTGCAGAGAGTCATACCCATAGAGCTGTACTCCTTGAGCTTTTCCAGAACTGCAGACGAGGTCAGACCTTGAGAGGGCAGAACCTTCACATACTCCTTGTCCACTTGCAGAAATGACAGGTTCTTGCTAATATCATCCTTGACCTTGTTCAACTCATCTTGGATCTCCAAAGAAAAGAAAGACAAAGTTAGCAAGGAAATGGAAGAATACGCATAGAGACTAAGTCAACTGCCAAAGGCTGGGCACCACACAGATACTAAGGGGGTATATTTTTTTCTTAAGAGACACGATGACAGTTTGTGCAACTATTTTCTGGCATGTGCAACACTTTCTTAGAAATCTGAAAAGTTGACTTCTCTTTGAAGGTCAAAGATGCACTTGAATCCCAACCCCCACCCCCAACCCCTGCCCTTCCTCTGCCATGTCAACATCACCACTGCTTTACTTGGTTTGCATTTGCTAATGTCAGCACTTCTTTGAGGGCAACATTTGGACCTTGTTCCTGTCCTGGCAGCAGCTAGTGTATCCACTAAAGAAACAAAGGTAGAGCCACAAACAGTTACCAGAAAACAGACCAAGCAGCAGTAAAATGGATCCTGGTGCTTGTCCAAGTGATGAGCTCCTTCAAAAGACAAGTCAGGAGGCACCTGCACAACTCCCCTCAGAGAAGCTCAAGCCACCCTGGGAAGTGCCAGGAAGACAGCATTCTAGCCTCTCAAGCTGGCCACAGCTTGTAATCAAATGCTCACTCAAAATAAGTAACTTCTTGTCTCTGAGCCTCAAAATTTCCTTCTAAAATATGAAAGGTGACTAACCATATAGTTTCTAAGCCCCTTCCAATTCTGTTAGTTCATAAATCTAAGAATAGGTTCTGAAACCCTAGCATCGTCTCAAAATCTGAAATTGAAGAGAAAAAAACATGAAAAATAAGGGCAGAAAAATGTAGGGACTGAAAAGGGGAAATGCTATTAACCTTAATGAGCCAGTCTGTCCATTATCTCTTCCCCCTTTCCCTGACTCTTTATTCTATAAGGACCAAAGCAGATTTAATTTGGGGGCTTAATATAATTTGAACTAAAATAAAAGCCTATGTATCCACTCTCATGCCCTATCTCCATCCTTCTACTTCCCCACAGGAAATGAACTGGATAGCACATAGTTTGGGAGTGTTTATATAGTGCTCCGAATGGATTTCAGTTAAAGGCAAAAGATAACTGACATCTTTGCTGGTCTGGCCAGAATAGGGAATTGAAAGGCAAAAATAAAAGAAAGATTGATGAGGAGCAGAGGCGAAAGGCAGGATACTGGAGGAGATGAAGATATCAAGAACTCATTTGCTTCCTTAAAGCTTGCAATAGGGCCTGCCCTGTTTATCTTCATCTGTGATAAAAAGGGAGAGTACAGAGGTGACTATTTTATACTCAGTGAGGGTGAGGGCAGAGACAATACCATAAAGGGAACATACTAGACTATGGATAGGTACAAAGAGCAAGAGAATAGCTCTGATATCTAAGTTTCTAAACCTGGGATCAGCAAACTACAACCCAAATCTGGCCTACACCTATTTTTGTAAAGAAAATTCCCTGGAATACGGCCAGGATCATTCCTGTACCTATGATCCTGCTGCTGTATTCCCTCTGCAAGGGCAGAATTGAGGAGTTGTGACAGACATAGTATGGCCTACAAAGCCTAAAATGTTTCATATCCAGCCCTTTACAGAAAGTTTGCCAACCTTGATCTAAACCACATAAGTACTCAACCCCCACATAAATAACTAAAACCAGCCCAGCCAGATATTGCTCCAGAGCATCATGTGACTTCTATCAAGTTTTCTAATTTCGAATTCTTGACAGACATCTCCTTTCTCCTTTAGTCACATATATTGCAGAAAAGATTAGGTAAGGTTTCTCAATCTGGAGATTCTGACATGTTGAGCCAATAATCCTCTGCTATGTGCAGGGTGGTCCTGTGCATTGTATGGAGGAATTTTAGCAGCATCCGTGGCCGCTATTCACTAAATGCCAACAGCATTCCTCTCCAGTTGTAAAAACCAAAAATGTCTCCAATCATTATCAAATGTTCTTTGGAGGACAATAACACACCTCCCGCTTGAGAATACCAGGTTCAAAGAATAAATAGAAAGAGGTATGACCATAGGGGTGGATAGAGGAGGGAGATCTATACAGATCCCACTTACCTTGCGACCAATAATAGGCATCTTCCTGATGAGCTTAAAGCATTTCTTTTTAAATCTTGACCATAAACCTAAAAGAAATAAATGGTTCTATTATCCATGGATATAAGATGTTAGTCATAGTGCACGAACTATTCAGGTATGTCCTCTGCAACCCCATTTGCCCTCAGGTCACAAAGGCAGAGTTTCTTTCCATTAAAAAAAAAAAAAAAAAACTTTTACTTTTTTAAGTAATATGATTACATAGTTCAAAAAGTAAAAATAAATAAATAAATATATGCACACAGAGTTAAAAGTTTCTCAACTACCCCCAGACCTCATCCCACGTAAATACTGCTACTAGTTTCTAAAATACCCTTCTAGAATTTCTTTATGCATATACAAGCAAGAATAAAGATCTATCCTTGTCTCTATTTTTACACAAAAGGTGTACTAGAACTTCTTCTACTTAGAAATATTTTCTTTAAATATTGGTGCTTCAGCCTAGCCGGTGTGGCTCAGTGGTTGAGCATCAACCTATGAATCAGGAGGTTAGGACACATCTCCAGTCAGGGCACATCCCCAATAGGGGGCATGCAGGAAGCAGCCAATCAATGATTTTCTCTTTCATCATTGATGTTTCTCTCTCTTCCTCTTACCTTCCTCTCTGAAATCAATAAAAATATTTTTTCTTAAAAGATTGGTGCTACCTCACTCATTTTTTATAGCTGTAGAGTATTTCATTATATGTATTACCATAATTTACTTAACCTGCCCCTTCTTGATGGACACTTAGGTTGTTTCTAGTATTTGCTATTACAAACCATGATAAAATAACTTTATAACACATACCATACTCCATACAACAAGAATACCTACAGGATAAATTCCCAGAAACAGGGCTACTTGGTCAAATGACATACGTATTCCAGAATTTTCTACCTTCTCAAGGTTCATTTCTCTCCCCTCCCTGAAAACAAATGACCAATGCTTGCTTTTTTTCAGGATCTAGACTCCAGTCTCTCATTCAACATATATCCTAACAACATTTTCTGGACCTATTATAAAAAGGCCTTCAGTATCATTACATCAATCAGACTCCATTCTGTTGGCCAGTACATAGGGCAAATACGGAATTGTGATCCTGTTAATGACAATAATTATAAATACATGGCATCAAAATAGACTATTCTACCTTTAATGAATTCACATTCAGTATCTAATTGACTCTGACAACAAGATTTTGAGGTTGGCAACAATGGGTGAAAGCATTAATAACTTGCTCAAGGCCACAGATAAATCAGTAGTGGAGCAGGGATTTAAGTGAAGTCTTTGTTTTTCTAGTCTGAGACTCCCAGGATTCTCTCTGCTTCAAATGCACAACAGTAATGTTCAGTTACCCCAAATGTGTATAAGGAATCTATAGCAAGCTTTCATACAGGGCATGAATTGAACATAAACTTTTATTGCATTGCTAGGAGATTTGGGCATTCCAATTTCTCTGGCCACAAGGAGCATGCTCTCAACAACAGAATGTGTGTGTACCTTCTTTTGCTAGTCATTATATAAAGTCTTACATCTTGCTGTCTTTGCTTAGGTTGCATCCCTGTCTTTCCACCTCGCCCTATGGTTAACTCTTTATAAATGTCTGGGACAAAAGCAGGTAGTTAAGACACAGACTGAATAAGAAGACAAAGGACTGAAACCTCTTATCTGTAGTTACTTTTTTGTTTACATTTTGAAGTATTTCCTTTTAGTCCCATGTTTTATATATTGTAATACATAACAGATATTATTGTATGTACAATACTGTATACTCTTCTCACTTGAAGCATTTTTGACATTAATAAAAATAGTCCATCAAATTAGTATAACTTATTATTAGATATTTAAACTGTTTGTTATTTGACTACAGTTGACCCTTGAACAACATAGGTTTGAACTGAATGAGTCCCCTTATGTGCAGATTTTTTAAAAGAAATATATAACACACTGTATCTCCAGATTTCAAATCTGCTGTGAACCATAAACAATACCTTTGATCACAGTTGAAAAATCTGCACTGAGGAGGACCAACTACATGCATTGTTCTAGGTCAGTGGTCGGCAAACTGTGGCTCATGGGCCACAAGCAGCTCTTTGGCCCCTTAAGTTTTTAGCAAAGGTCAGCTTAAGAGTACCCTAATTAAGTTAATAACAATGTACCTGCCTATATAGTTTAAGTTTAAAAAATTTGGCTCTCAATAGAAATTTTAATCACTGTACTGTTGATATTTGGCTCTGTTGACTAGTGAGATTGCCAACCACTGTTCTAGACCATCTATAATAATAAAAGCATAATATGCAAATCGACCAAATAGCCAAACAGTGAAACGACCTTAAGGATGACCTTCTAGACAAAGCGGGGGGGGGGGGGGGGGGGGGGCGGGGGGGGGGACCCCGAGGCAGCCAGGGAGGCTGAGGTAGCCAGGACTGGCGAAGGCCTACTCTTGCACAATTTTGTGCATTGAGGCTCTAGTCCTATATAATAAAGAGCTAATATGCTAATTAGACCAGATGGCAGAACGACCTTCAGGAATGACCCTCTCGTATGACCAGTGGGCGGGGCTGTGAGGCAGCTGTAGCTGCAAGATAACGGGGCTGTAAGGACCGAGTCAGCAGGGGCTGCAAGGGCTGAGCCCCTTGCTCATGAACTTTGTGCATTAGGCCTCTAGTTTTATATAAGGGGCTTGAGCATTCACTAATTCTGGTATCCATGGGAAGTTCTGGAACTAACTGCCTAAAAATAGCGAGGGACTGTAGTTAAGTTTTGGTGGAATCAAAAGTTATACATGGGCCCTAGTTAGTGTGCTTATTGGTTAGAGCGTTGGCCTGCTCAATGAAGGGTCTCGGGTCCAATTCCTGATCAAGGGCATGTATTTGGATTGCAGGTTTGATCAAAGTGTCTCTCACCCTCTCCTACTCATCCCTCCCTCACTTCCACTCTCTCTAAAAAGCAATGGAAATAATATCCTCAGATGAGGATTAACAAAAGAAAAATGTTATACATGGATTTTCAACTGTGCAGAGGTGAGTCCTCCTAATCCTATGGTGTTCAAGGGTCAAATGTACCTCTAGCCATGTTAAAGCTGTAAAGATTCAAAACCACTTTCTTATTTAATAAACGAAGTAATTAATGAGGTGGAAAGAGATTCAAAAATTATCAAACTGATTCAGGTCTCCAAAAGTACAGTAATGTGAGTAGGTAGAGGAGAAAAAAATAGACTAATCTGGTGAGAGGTGGAATAAAATGGTACAGGATAAAAAGAACACAATAGCCGAAACTGGTTTGGCTTAGTGGATAGAGCGTTGGCCTGCAGACTGAAAGGTCCCAGGTTTGATTCCAGTCAAGAGCATGTACCTTGGTTTCGGGCACATCCCCAGTAGGGAGTGTGCAAGAGGCAGTTGATCAATGTTTCTCTCTCACTTATGTTTCTAACTCTCTATCCCTCTCTCTCCCTCTCTGTAAAAAATCAATAAGATATTTTTTAAAAAATTAAAAAAATAATAATAAAAAGGACAAAATACAGGATCAGTGATGGAGACATTAAAATGAGAAGACCACGTGGTCACCACCTAAAAAGATAATCTCAAAAGTAAAAGTCCCCAGAAGTACAGAAAGAAAAGTAATTAGAATATGTCAAGATAATAAAATAGAAAATGTCAGTGTTAAGAAAATTAATGTATGGCTCTTAACAGTTTACAAATTCCTTCCACACAAATTATGCCCCTCAATCTTCATATTACCCTATGATTAGGTATGATAGGTATTTTATGCTCAATTTATTGTGGGGAAACAGGCTAAGAGAACTTAAGGGTGTTGTCAGGGCTAGAAAATGGCAGAGTTGATCACACCCTCCTACCACATAAATGGTTTCTGTTGATGAAATACCGACAATCAGTTAAAAGCAGCATAAAGTGGTAAGAATTTGTGCAGATAATGACACAGCATAAAGAAGAAAGGGAAAACACCTTAGAGAGCTGCTACCCCTTGCCCATCCTCCTACCCAGTTCCTACTGCTGCTGCTGCTACTTGTTCTTATCTACCCTGGCATCCAGTCTGTGTTCTAGAATTACCCTTCCCCTCAGAAAAGTATTCAGAGTTTCAATATTAGCAAAGTTTATCATTAGTCCAGACTTCAGACTCCTCTACAGCAATATACTAAAAATAACTTGATTGTTCAGTGATATGTGGAATACTTTTCTACATGAGCAAGTTTCTGAAAAAAAAAATATGGCATTGCTATCAAAATGATCTCCAATGTCTGGAGGGAAGACAAATATTTTTATGTGTCTAAAATTCAAGTTGGCAGTTACAAAACAAGAAGTGTGCTGTGTGTGTGTGTGTGTGCATAAAACTATGAAACTGCCAACATTCAATAATTTTTGACCTACAGAAACTGTATTTTGTATGGATATATAACACAGATACATAAACAGTGGTTAGATCTAGGTAACAAGATTTTAATTTTGTTATGATGGTTTACCTATGTCTGATTTTCTACAATGAACATATACTACTTCTATAATAATAAAAAAATGGGTTATTAAAAATAAAACAACTGAAATGGCTTAAATTGAACTCACAAAAATCTAGGTGGCACCCTACTTCTATGATTCTTCTCATGGAATGGTTCAAGCCCAGCATATTCTCTTTGGAACACTAAAGGCAGTAAGTCCCAGGACCTAGGATGCTCTGCTTCTACCAGTTAAGTAAAATGTACATGAGCACTGTGGACTGCAGAATTAGAAACAGAAGTCAACACCTAAAGTTAATACTAATTATATAGCAAACAAATACAAATCTTTAACCTTAGTCTGTTTTTACAAATGCACCACATTAAAAGGAAAAGTATATAGAATAATGGCTGTCAAGAGCTGGGGAGAGGAAGGGAGCAATTGCTTAATGGGGACAGAGTTTCCATTTAGGATGATGAAAAAGATCTAAAGAGGGATGGTAGTGATGGGTGCACAACACTGTGAATGTAATACCTCTGAAATGTACATTTTTTAAATGGGAAGTGTTATCTTATGTATCTATACATTATTAACTATAATAATAAAAGCATAATATGCTAATTAGACCAGACAGCCAAATGACCTTCCCGACGTCCTTCTGGATGACCTTCCGTATGAAGCTGGGACTGCGAGGGCCAAGCCCCTTGCATAAATTTCATGCATGAGACCTCTAGTCTATATATATAAAAGCCTAAGCAACCAGCCAGTAACTATGATGCGCATTGACCACCAGACACTCAACACAAGAGTTGTCAAGCAACAGCAACTTTTCGGAGTACCCTCTTGCACTCCGGACCCCTCAGGGAATGTCCGACTGCCAGTTTTGGCCCAATCCCCACAGGCCAGGCCAAGGGACCTCACTGGTGCACTAAACCTCTAGTAATAAAAGAAAATAAAAGAACCCTGGCCAGTTGCTCAGTGGTAAGAGCACCGGCTCTCAGACTGAAGTGTTGCTGGTTCGATTACAAGTCAAGGACACGAACCTCATTATAGGTTTAATTCTGGCCTCGGTTAGGGCATATGCAGGTGGCAATCAATTGATGTTTCTCTTTCACATCAATGTTTCTTTCTCTGTCTCTCCTCCTCTCTTCCACTCTCTATGAAAATCAATGGGAAAAATAACTTCAGGTGAGGATTTAAAAAAATAAAAAAGATGGGAGGAAGGGGGGAATATTATTGCTTTGGGAGGGGAGGGAAGAAAAGGGGAGGGGAAGGAGACATTTATTGCTATTCCTGAAAGTCCTATGGAAAAGGTCACTTCACCTGGAAGGACAAGCTGGTGGATACCACTGCATCAAAGTCTTCCTGTGTTCATGGATTAGTAGAATTAATATTATTAAAATGTCCATACTACCCAAAGCAATCTATACATTTGATGCAGTCCTTACCAAAATACCAATGACATATTTCACAGATCTAGAACAAATACTCCAAAAATTTATATAGAACAAAAAAAGACCCCAGTCGGGTCGGGTGCGGCCAGGCACGGAGCAGCGGCTGCCAGGCTGGGAGCGGCCAGGCCCGGGGGAGCAGGCGGGTCGGGTGCGGCCAGGCCCGGAGCAGCGGGCTGCCAGGCTGGGAGCGGCCAGGCCCGGAGCAGCAGCAGCCAAGTCCAGAGCAACTAGGTCGGGAGCGGCAGTGACCAGACCCGGAGCAGCTGGTTGTGGAATGAACCAGAGCGGCAGAGGCCGGGCCCTGGGCAGCCGGGCCCAGAACGGCTCGCTCCTTGCCTGCCCCTGCCCCACGGCTGCTTCTCAGACATGGCTGGAAACTTTCGTGGGAACTTGAGGGTCTGCTGAATCAGGTGATGGAGGCTTAGATCTGGATGTGTTGAGTTAGTTTAGGGCTGGGGAGTTGATCTGTGAGTGCCTTGGGTGGGGCCTGGATGAGGCTGGTGGACCTATTGGGAAATGTCTTTTGTTTGAAGTGTATCATTGGGCTTGTAGAGGTATTATTGATATGAGAAAATGCTAAGTAACTGATATACTGTCTGAGAAGGGATTTACTATCGGGAAAGGGAGGGAAGAAGAGACTGAACATAAACTGTGCACCTATGGATGAGGACAATGGGGGATGGGGAGGGGGCAGAGGGTGGGGGTGGGAACCTGGTGGAGGGGGAAGAAATGAGGAACCTTTGTAATAATATGAACAATAAAGATTGATTTTAAAAATAAAAATAAAAAAGACCCCAAATAACTGTAGCAATCTTGAGAAACAAGAACAAAGTTGGAGAAATCACAATACCAGATTTCAAGTTATACTACAAAGCCATTGTAATCAAAACAGCCTGGTACTAGCACAAGAATAGGCACAAAGATCAATGAAACAGAACAGAAAACCCAGATATTGACTTAAGCCATTACACTCAATTAATATTTTACAGAGGAGGCAAGAGCATGCAATAGAGTAAAGACAGTCTCTTTAATAAATGGTACTGGAATAATCTGACAGGCACTTGCAAAAAAATGAAACTAAACCACCAACTTACACCATACACAATAATAAATTAAAAATGGATAAGACTTAAAATGTAAGTAGTAAAACCATAAAACTCCTAGAAGAAACCACAGACAGCAAAATATCAAGCATCTCATAGAGAATTTTCATCAATATATCACCCAGAACAAGAAAAACAAAGGGGGGGGTGGGGAGAGAAACACCAAACAAATGGAATTATCTCAAACTAAAAAGCTTCTACACAGCAAAAGAAACCAGCAACAAAATGAAAAGGGAACCCACTGTATGGGAGAATATATCTGCCAATGATACATCTGTTAAGGGTTTAATTTCCAAAATAAAAAAGTACTCATACAACTCAACAACAGGAAGACAACCCAATTAAAAAATGGGCAGAAGACCTAAATAAACGTTTCTCCAAAGAGCACAGACATGCAGACGGCCAAGAGACATATGAAAAATTGCTCAAAGTCACTAATCATTAGAGAGATGCAAATTAAAACAACAATGAGGTACCATCTCACACCTGCCAGAATGGCTATCATCAGTAAATTAACAAACAACAAGTACTGAAATGACTGTGTCCATTCTTACTAACAATGTATCATACTATTTTCCTGGGGAAAGAGAAAGAAAAGCAGAAAAAATAGTTAAAGTGCCCCTTCACGGAGCAGCCAGAGTGTTATGTCAGTCATCACAATGGACTCAGAGAAGCTCCTGTGTCCCTTCACCCAAAAGGACTGAGAGTTGCCCAGATGACAGCAAAGTGAAAGAAGAAAACTGAAGGCTACGCAAGGGACTGAGGTGCCAACATGGAGTCATCTGAAGAAATTAAAGACTGAAGTGGAAGCTACTTCTTTAATCATGTTCCTGCTCAAGCTAGCATCTATTAGCTTCCAGTCTTCTGCAAAGTCTTGTGCAGCAAGTCCAAGGACTCAGTAAATCTACACCAGCAACAAAAGAGACTCATTTAGCAGCTAAAAATATTAATATGTCCATAATTCTGATTTCTCATTTTGTTGTTTTGCATTGGTATTGTTATTATTTAATAGCCAGAGTTTTGCTTTTGACATTCAAGTTTTGAAAATAACATGTATGTGGTTTAGTTTTTGCATTGATAAATAAATAAATAAATAAATAAATAAATAAATAAATAAATAAATAAAAATTAAAAAATAAAAATAAAAAGAATTAGAAAGCCAAAAAATAAAATAAAAATAATAAAGTGCCCCTTCAAACAAATGTGATCAGGGGAAAAAATAGTTGTGGAAATTTTAGACATACGAGAAATGACAAGCAAATTCCTTCAATGTTAATGGCTTCTTATCCCAAGGAAGTTAACTGGGATACCCTAATAAGGGTAGGACAGGGATGCAGAGTGCTACAGAACACCTACCACCACTCCTACCTTTTACTTTCCAAGCACAATGCGCAGGGGAAAATAATTAACAAGGAGGAAATATGTAATCAGGTTGGGGCTTTTTAGGGGTGGGGAGGATTTACAAACTGACTGCTAAAAGACTTCTCATCTTCTGCACTCTAGAGAAGTGGCTTCCTCTTCCCCATATCAATTAGCTCCCTGAGGCACTCACTATCCAGGAAGCTCAAAGTGCACTGCCTCCTGTTATCAGGTCAACTCTAAGAGGCAGGGCCCTCTATCACTTATTTAGATCTCCCCAGAGCCCTCCCCTGGACTTTAGGAGGTCCAAGTGGCACAATTACGTTCTAGAGAAGAAACTAAAACTGAAGATTTAAGCCGCACTCAGATACCTGTGATCCTTACAATGACTCATTTCTTAGGAGTTTTTATGTAAGTTGCAAATTCAGAAAAATCAAATTAAGTAGGAACAGTTACACAAGATTCCCATTATAATGAGACTTTGCCAGTCAGAAGACAATGCCCCACTTCCCATTAAATTTTATTAAAAATCAGAACAAAACCAAAAGGCAAGAAATCAATCTAATCATAAGTATGAGTTTCAAAGCTAGTGAACCTCCATTGTTCCTTTACAGAGAGGACAGTATACTTACTCTCCGGTTGGTAGACAAACTCATATACCCAGACTATCAGCAGGGTCCACAGGACACTCCATGCAATTAGTTGCCAGGGCTCATATTTGGTGCAATGACTATTTATGTAATTCTTGGCCTTTGTGGAATATACTTCCAAAATCTCGAAGTAGGGCTCAAAGGCCTTCTAGAAACACAAGAGGAAAAAAAAGAAATATTACATTCAGAGAGAGAAAGGAAAAGTCTGTTCTTAGTTTATTCTTCAACTCTCATCTTCCAAGGGCAAGGACATTCATAATCTGGCCCTACCCCAGCTATAATCTTATCACCCAAAGTTCCAGCTCCTTTCACTCCAGTGAACACTGCCCCTCTACAAGTCCTGTGGACTTTGACAAGATTTCTGATCTTCTAACTATTCTGTAAAATAAAAGGATAAGCTAGATCATCATTTCAGCTCTAAAGCTTCAGTAGGAAGTAAAGCTACAGTATTCACTGTCCCACTTAACTCAAACATTCACTCTCAATCTGGATGTCTTTCTCTCCTCTCCCACCTTCTGTCCAGGATTTGGCAGACTGTGTCTGCAAAAGGTCAGAATAAGTACTATGGGTGGCGCCGGCCAAAAAGGGTCTGTTATAGCTACACAGCTCGGCTATTGTAGCACAAATACAGTCAGATAGTGGGTACACAAAAGAACGTGGCTGTGTTCCAACAATATTTAATTACAGATGCTAAAATCCGAATTTCATATCATTACTCATAGTTCCAAATATTCTCATTATAAAAACAATTTTTGAAATGTAAAGTATCTTTGTTCATAGGCTGTACAAAAATGGACAGCAGGTTTGATTTGGCCCATAGACAATAGACTGCAATCTTTGCTCTAAGGCCCTATGTGACTAAAAACTTTGGGAGCCAGGGACATATCTTATCACTATGTGCATCACTCACAAATAAGAAAAAAGTCTTCCCATCTTAAAATTTACCAGAATATCCTATTCATGAGAATATATCTCTCTCTTTAAATTCTCAAGTACTCAAGTACCAGGAGGGGGGAACATCAATTATTTGGTCTGGTCCTGCCAAGGCATTAGGGGTGAGTTAATTAAATGTTTGACCAAATATAGCAGGCTAATTTTTAAGTTGATAATTTTGTGTGGCCTGCAAATCCTATATAATAAAGAGGTGCTATGCAAATTGTTCCTCACGCCCTCACAAGATGGTTGCCTACAACCAAGCCAGCAGGGGGGTTAGTGAGGGACGAACAGACAAGTGAACAGCAGGCTGCGTGGGGCAACCAGGTCGGCAGGGAGGACAGTTGAGAGGGACCAGAGCAGCAGGTGGGGCAGTTGGGGGTGATCAGGCTGACGGGAGGGGGGGGGGGTGCAGTTAGGGGCCACCAGGCTGGCAGAAGGGGGCAGTTGAGGGTGACCAGGCTGGCAGGGAGGGCAGTAAGAGGCAACCAGGCCAGCGGGGGGGGAGGGGGGGGTCATCCCTAACTGCTCCCCAGTGTAGCAGGGAGAACAGTTGGAGGCAATTAGGCTGGCAGGGGAAGAGTGAGGGGCGACTAGGCCAGTGGGGGGAAGGGGAGCAGTTAGGGATGACCAGGCCAGCAGAGGGAGCAGTTAGGGGTGACCAGGCAGGCAGGCAGATGAGCAACTAGGAGCCAGCGGTCCAAGATTGTGAGAGAGATGTCCCCCAAGGAGTCCCAGATTGAAGAGGGTGCAGGCTGGGCTGAGGGGACATCCCCCTGCATGAAGTTCAAGCACCCGGCCTCTAGTGATGTTATAAATATCCAAATGCCCCTTGGCAGAATAAAGGTTCCCCATCCCAGCTCTACACAGAGCTTATCACAAATCACATTGCAGTCTACTCATCTGTTTCTTATCTCCCTGACTACATGGTTAGTCCTTGAAGATAGGTCTTAGTCATATTTACAAGCCCCTGTGTGCCTTATACAAAATAAGTTAATCTGATAGTTTGTTATTCATTCACTTACTCAACATTTATTAAGCATCTCCAATGCTTAAGGTATTAAGCCGGGGGAGTGCTTAGGTAAATATCACAGGTGCCTGATCTTACTGAGCTTATACTCTAATGGGAGAGATCTGAATGTGTGAATATGCAGCAAACACATACATGCATACACAAGTGCACACATATATAAACAAACAATTAAAACTCTTCAGCATAGCCCATCTGGTGTGGCTCAGTGATTGAGGGTCAACTGATTCCCAGTCAGGGCATATGCCCAGGTCATGGGCTCGATCCCCAGTGTAGCAGCCAATCTGTGATTCTCTGTCATCACTAATTCATATTCATATTCTCTCTCTCTCTCTCTCTCTCTCTCTCTCTCTCTCTCTCTCTCTCTCTCTCTCCCCCACCCCCACCTGCTTCTCCCTTCCTCTCTGAAGTCAATAAAAAATAAATTTAAAAAAAAACTTTTCAGCATAAACACTATAAAAAGGATGCAAGTGAGGTGCTAAGAGAGACCACTGAGGAAGGTCTATCTAACTATACCTAAGAGGAGATGAGTAAGATATGACAGAAGATAAAATCTAACCAAGTTAAAAAGGTAAAAGAATGATCAAAGAAAATTATCCAGGAAAAAAAAAAAGTTAAAAAAAATAAAAGCCATATGAGGAAGAGAGAAAAGTAGCTGTACATGCATAAAAGGAATCTGGGAGAGCAAAAAGTTTGTGTTCGGAGGGTAAGCTAGATGAGGGCAGGGATCCTACCTGTCTTATCAGGTACTAAATTCGCAACATACAGAAAGTGCCCAGCACACAATTTGTATTGAATAGAAACTAGGACAGTGGCTGACAGTAAATGACTAAATATGTCAATTAGAGCAATGAGGCAGAAGTACACTAAGTCCAGATTACCAATGATCCTAAAAAAAAAAAAAAAAAAAAAAAAAAAAAAAAGGCATGGAAAGTGGAAATATAAATAGATAGGCATTTTTTGTAAAGTGATTTGCCAGTATCAACATTACATTCATTTGACTCAGAAATCCCCCTCAGAAATATGTGCATCTTGCACATATTTATGGACACTCACTTCAGTATTCCCTGAAACAAAGGGAAAAATATAAATAACAAAAATATCCATTCATAAAGGAATGGCTAAATAAACTATAATAAACACTCTTTTTAATCGTCACCTGAGGCTGTATTTTTTATTGAGTTTAAAAAGAGAGGAAGGGGACGGGAGACAGAGAGAAAGAGAAAAAAAAAATCTATGTGAGAGAAACATTGATCAGTTGACTCCCGTATGCACCCCAATGGGGGATCAAACCCCCAACCCAGGTATATGCCCTGACCAGGAATCAAACTCACAACCTTCTGGTTAGGGATGATGCTCCAACCAACTGAGCCACCTGGCCAGAACTATAACACACACATTTTAATGCAGCATTAAAAAGAAGGTAGATCTGAATGAACTACATGGAAAAGTTTCCAGAATATATGTTGAGTAAAAATAAAGCAAATTGTAAAACAACAAAAACAAAAACAAAAGTCATGGGTTGTTAAATCAGGAAAGTAATTAAAAAAAAAAAAAAGGGTAAAGGTAACTGATTGAGAGCTAAAAAGAAGGAGGATAGAGATTAGAAATGAAAATTTTAGTTTAAAGGGATTATTGAAACAGTCCAGGAGAAAAATAAACTGGGCCTGACTTTAAGCAATAAAACATTGGGGACAAAAAAACAGTATGAATTTGAAAAACATTTTTGGTAGTAAAGCAAACAGTGTTTGATAACTTATTAGACATAGAAAAGTACGGACTGGAAAGAGTACAAATAATTCCAAGTTCAAGTTTGAGAAACTGAGTAAAAGAACAGGAGGGGAAGAAGAAGAAGGTAAAAGAGATTTTGAGGAAAAGATAATGATATTTCCTGTTTCTACACACAATCCTATATAATAGATATTTTGCAAATTGACCATCACACCCTCGCACAAGATGGCCACCCCCATGTGGTCACAAGATGGACACCACAAGATGGCTGGCAAGGAAGGGCAGTCAGGGGTGACCAGGACAGCAGTTGGGGGCGAGTGGGCCAGCAGGCAGAGGGCAGTTGGGGGCAACCAGGGCAGCAAGGGAGGGCAGTTGGGGACAACTGGGCCAGCAGGGGAGAGCAGTTGGGGGCAATCGGCCGGCAGGGGAGCAGTTAGGATTGATTAGGCTGGCAGGGAAGTGGTTAGGGGGTGATCAGGCTGGCAGGCAGAAGCAGTTAGGGGCAATCAGGCAGAAAGGCAGGCGAGCAGTTGGGAGCCAGCAGTCCCAGATTGTGAGAGGGATGTACCAGATTGAAGAGGGTGCAGGCTGGGCTGAGGGACACCCCCGCTCCCCTAGTGCACAAATTTTGTGCACCAGGCTGCTATTAGGTCTAGTAATAATTAATGTCGTTTCTAATACTTTTTTTAAATCGAATTTATTTAAACAATACAACAAAATTTAATCAACAATATAGTTGCCGTTGTTTTCTACTACTTGTGCCCAATGCTCAGGAAGCATTTTAATCCCTCTGTTGTAAAATTCTTGTGATTTTGATGCAAAAAATTCGGTCAATGCATTTTTGAGGCATTCTTCATTATTAAATTTTTTTCCAAGAAGAAAGTTTTGCAAAGAACGAAACAAATGGTAATGGGAAGGGGCAATATCAGGAGAATATGCAGGTTGAGGGAGAACTTCCCATTCCAACTGGCGCAGTTTTTCAGCAGTGATTCTTGCAGTATGCGGTCGTGCGTTATCGTGGTGAAGAATTACGCCCTTCCGATTAATCAGCGCGGGTTCTTTTTCTCTTAAAGCTTGGGCTAACCTTTCCAATTGGGCACTATACACTGCACTTGTAATGGTTTGGTTAGATGGTAAAAGTTCATAATGAAGAATTCCTTTAAAATTCCACCAAACACACATCACTTTTTTCGCATGCAAGTCAGGTTTTGGCGTGGGCTGCGGAGCCTCATTTTTGTCCAACCATTGAGGCCGCCTTTTCAAATTAACATACAGCACCCATTTTTCATCTCTGGTAACAATTTGCTCTAAAAACGGCAAACGGTTTTGACGAGAGAGGAGCGAACTGCAAATTGTGACTCTGATTATGGTTGTTGTCGGTCAACTCATGAGGAACCCATTTTCCAAACTTTTGGACTTTGCCAAGTGCACGCAATTGATTGGAAATTGTTTTT